CAGAATTTGGTCCTTGCTCCTTTGAGTCAAGTCAAGCATCCACAGATGACTTGGGGCTAACCATTAAGAACACCTAAATGGTTTTGTTACACTTTGAGATTCTCCCACGGGAGTTTTGAAATAAAATAGCAACAAAACCTAGTAGAAAACAGTTCTTTAAATTATATGAGGCTATTAAATTTTGATCCCGGTACACGTATTTTAAAAGAAGATAATGAAATATTTGCATTTCTATAGTGCCGTTCATTGGCCGGCCCCAAAGTGCTTTGTAGACTGTCTCAAACTCAGTCTTTCTGGCATCTGGAGAAGTGTACAAGTCTGGGGCAAGTTAAATCCAACACTGAGGCCCATATTCCAGAGCTTCCAGAGAGGTCGCAGTTTATCCCAACCTGTTTTATTCTGCCAAGGAAAAAAAATCTGGGTCTCAAATTCCCAATGGTTTCAACAGCCATAAATCGAATTGCAGTGGAGGGATTTTTAAAGAGGCAATTAACAGCTGTAATTTCCTTGAACATTTTCAACTAGCAAACAGTCACTGAATTTTCTCTCTCTGTGAGTTTACTGGATCTTCCATTTGTGGTGCAGATACAGGTTGGTCCTTTCCCAATCCTCTCCCACAAATAGGTGCTTAAAAGGCTCAAATCAGTCTAAGGTGAAAACTGGCACGAGGGTGTGGGTTAGACTCAATTGGCATGATCTTGTTATGCTGGGTGCAGCGAGTCAAGCTTGACTCCCAGGGGAAAAGAATTACCTTGCAAATATCCAAGGTTTACCCGATTCATCACATCACTGGCTGTTAAATTTGCTACATCCTCTACAGAACATACAGAGAAAAGGTACAGACATAAACAAAGAGAAAGAGAGAGAGAGAGAGAGAGAGAGATCAGCAAGCAGTGATTCGGCAAGTATTAGAGATGAGCTCCTGAGCTTTCATGATAAAATGGGCAAAAAAAAAAGAAAGGAAAGGGAAAAGAAGGCAGACCAATGCATTCTGTCTGTGAGGTCACGGATATTCAGACGCCAACAGGTGATATGCTGTGATAATGTATTCAGAGCACTGTACCAAACGTGACTGGTCCACTGACACATCACTGGGTCCAAAGGAGCCTTCGACTTCACAGCACGTCAGCGGCACATTTCCAGCTCCTCCTCTTTTATTCCTCTCCATGTTTTCTAAACGTCCAATTGAACAGCTGCCCACTCTCCTCAAGCCCGGAAATGTAGCGTTCCAGCTGAACAAGGCCTAGAGTCCAGCTGGGCCTAGGTGTTGCAGAGAGCTCTAAACATGGACCCATCCCACACACCATGTATGCTGCAGTATCTATATAGTACAGGATAAGCAGGGTATCATAAACCTTGTCCCCACCATCCAAAATATCACATCCAATTATTTGGATTTCATTCACACTCTGGGGTGCAGCATCCCACCTTGAGCGGTTATGAGTCTAATGGCTCCCACTGTGTGAGACGGTCTAGTTTTCCCTTCCAGTTTACAAGTATTCACCCACCTGGACATTTGGCTGCACTTCGGAACAAATGTCCAGAGAATGCTAGAGGGTCGTGCAAACCCATAGGAGCAAGCTGTAGAAATTCACAAGTGCAAAAACCCTAGACAGCTGCTAAGAAAAGGCAGATGTACAAGTTGCAACTACCTTCAAGCCCTCTGACCTGTGTGACCAGCTCTTGGATAGCCTGTATCTCAAAGTCATTCTGGCCTTTGGTAGCTTTACTGGAACAATCTTTCCATTAGGACAGGGGTGGGCAAACTTTTTGCAAAACAGTATGGAGGGCCAGGTAGGGAAGGCTGTGCCTCCCCAAACCGCCTGGCCCCCACCCCCATCTGCCCCCTCCCACTTCCCGCCCCCTGACTGCCCCCCTCAGAACCTCCGACCCAGCCAACCCCCCCTGCTCCTTGTCCCCTAATTTCCCTCTCCTGGGATCCCCTGCCCCTAACCACCCCTGGGATCCCGCCCCCTATCCAACCCCCCCTGCTCCCAGTCCCCTGACTGCTCTGACCCCTATCCACACCCCTGCCCCTTGACAGGCCCCCCGGGACCCCACGCCTATCCAAACCCCCCTGTTTCCCGTCCCCTGACCCCTATCCACACCCCCACCCCACCCCCTGACAGGCCCCCCGGGACTCCCATGCTTTCCAACCCCCCCGTCCCCCAGAACCTCCACTCCAACCAACCCCCCTTCTTCCTGTCCCCTGACTGCCCCCCGGAACCCCCGCCCCTTATCCAACCCCCCGCCCTCTTACCATGCCGTTCAGAGCAGCATGTGTGGCAGCCATGTCGCCTGGCCAGAGCCAGACACGCTGCTGCACTGCTCGGCAGGAGTGCGCAACCCCGCCGCCCAGAGTGCTGCCTGCGTGGCGGCATGGCTGCAGGGGAGGGAGGACAGTGGGGGAAGCGGCCGAGGTCTGGCCTCCCGGCTGGGAGCTCAAGAACCAGGCAGGACAGTCCCATGGGCCGGATGTGGCCCGCAGGCCGTAGTTTGCCCACCTCTGCATTAGGACATATAATTTTCCTGCTTGTCTAATATTAAAAAAAAAAAACATGTTCTCTTGGGTCTCTTATTCTACTACTTGACACCTGCTCTTGCTGTCCCTCAGATAATATCCCAGGGCATTATTATACTAAATCCATGTCAGTTATTCTGGATCTGCCTTGAAGGCTCCAGTGCTCTAGTACAATGGCCAACAACGTGGTGATCATCTACCACAGTAATTCTTTGAGCATTTGCATGTGAAGAGGAGGAAACGCCAACATCTATGCTGCAGACTTTGAGCCCCGGCTGAAGGAGGGCTGCTAGTTCAACAGAACAAGCAGCAGAAAGTCTTGGGATATTAACAGTGGGGGAACAGCAGATTGAGAAGAATGTAGTGAGGCAATCCTTCAAACTTATTCTACCATGCTAAAATGGGAATCTTTACATTGACTTCATTGGATATTGGATTAGATCCTTCATTATACATCTCTCTGCCGCTCTTTAAGGAAACAAACTTGCTGGAGAATGGACATTGCTCCTAGTTCTAATTCTGGCTGTAGATGCTCAGTGATGATACATATTGTGGCATGTTGCCAGCGAGAGACTAACTTGGACATCATTAACCTCTCTTACTGCAAACTCTCCACTCACACGCCTCTGTTTCCCATAGACACAATGGCACACAAGCAGATGACTTGCTGTGAGATCTTGTACGCAGTAAACCAATTGGCGTGGGGATGCCCGCTCCAGTCGACTCTAGATGCAGGGATGGTAGCACTTTGAGTGACAGGGCGGGACGATTACAACACTGCTGTCTCTCTAGCCACTTGGCTGTTCAACACAATGTCATTACATAGTCACGCAGATGTAGCGGTTTGTCTCCGTGTTTCTAGTAGCCCTCTGATCCAGAGGACAGCAATGCTTGGTGATCACTCAGACTTTACTCTGTAAGGCTCTGTCCCTACCAATGATTTCAGCCAGGCTCTGCACGCAGGCTCAGAATGTGCCCAAGTGCGGTCAGTTACAGGACTGGAGCCTAAAGAGCCAGCCCTTCTCCTCTTCTTGATTTGATTAGCTACCATGGAATTGAAATGAACTCTGTGTGCCATTGGAACATTGTCCAAAAGCAGGGAGCAGAAGGAGAGAAGGGAGAAATGCTCCACAATGCCACATCCACTGGTAGAAATTCCCAGCTCATGAAGGGTCCCTCGGAACGACACCTTCTTCCTTAACTAGGCTTGTGGAACTGGCTGGTGCATTGGGCAAATCTTTGTTTCCTTTCAACCCCACCCCCCAACCCAAAACAAAATGTATTTATTTCTAAGTTCTTTCCCCTCTCTTCCATGTGTCTGAAAAGTTGCAATGATGCAAACAACTTAGAGACCAGAAATCTAAAATCCCTCCCGAAATGTATTGCCAGGGTCACACCAGCTCCACAATCCCACCATGCACAATGGTCCTGGCCCAAAGGCTCCAGTTACACGGCTCTTGGTTTGCATTATTTTGTATGAGACTGGATGCCCTTTGGAGTGTGGGTAGGGAGCTATCGCCTGAACATGAAGGGTAGAAGCTTTTGTAGCATGGAGGCAAACAGGCAGCAGCACAGGATGGCTAAAAGAAAAACAAGCAAGCAAGCGCGCCGTGGGCTAAAGATTTCATCATAACTAAGGGATAGATTATTATCCAAAAATGGTATGAGACACTCTTGGGTTAACAGCCAATTAAAATAGTTTAGAAGAAATAATCATTGCACTGAGAGATTCTTACATTACGCCAAAGTATTATAGCGTACAGTACTTGCTTTACTGAGAGCTATGAGATCATTCAAGAGTTATTTAGTTCTACACACATCGAAGTGAACCACTCAGCTCTAAACTGAAAAACAATTCTAGGAGAGAATTTGCTGAAGGATTAAAAAAATATAATGATGGGATATTGCACCAGCCCGGGCTCTTTTCTTCCATGCTTTGCCGAGGGGATAGAATTCTCAGACACTAGCATTAGCAACTCTTACAAATGGCTATTTCGGTCAGCTTCATGATAGAGTGGGGGCCAATATTTTCAACCTCTCCTTAGCCAGTCATCAATTTTACAGGCACAAATAATTAATGAGTGAAATTTCGCACCTGTAATTTAGGTCATTTAGACATTTATTTCCCTTGTTATACCTGGTACTTAGATATTTATTGCACCTGCAAATAATTACAGATGTGTGCACAGCTATTTGTCACTGCTGAAACAGAGGCCAGTGTCTGAAAACAAGCCCCTTACCGTCTCAGTGCTGTGGGATTTATAAGGCAAGAGGACTGCAGGTTGATGGGAGTGCCGAGTTTGAATGTACTATCCAGAGCTATGAACAAGTTAGAGGATCAGGCTTCATTTTGGAATTGTTTTATACCCTGAACATGTCTGGTTTGGTTCGGCTAGATGCTAAAATACATGATCAGCTTGTGAATGGGGCGCATTGCTGGAAAAGCCATTAACTGTAAGCAAGAACGAAACCTACTTACCATACCCAGTGGTAGGTAAACCCAGGTGTTTCATTCGGTTTTTGACAAGCTCTGAAAGCTCTTGCCGCTCCGACCTCCTGTACAGACTCAACCTCTGCTGGCTGATCCACTCCGCTGTTTTGCTTGTGTGCTTGTTTCCTTTCCGACTCAGCCTGCGGGCCCACTGCATGCTTTTGCGCCGTAGCAAGGGGTGTTCAGACTGGTCGCTCGAGCAGGAGTTCCTGTGATGGCTTGTCTTGATGTTCCAGTGCTCCTTGACATCTTTTGTATCCTCGCAATCCTCGACATTGATTGAGATCTGCGACTGGAAGTCCCAGCAGTACATAAGGGGATGCACTAAATACCTTTCCGTTGAAAACACACTAAACACCTGACTCCACTGGAGTTGGCTGTGCCCAGCTCCTTGTAGGACCAGGTACTTACTTGGACAATGTAGTATTGTGATCAGCTACCCATTCTTAAAAAGGGACTGCATCTTGGTCTACACCTTTACACCAACGGCCAACTAATCAGCATCCCCCAACATTATGAAATATGCATGTTGAGACTGCTACCTCCTGGACCCCTGATGATGCTGGGTGGATCCTGACAGTTCGATGGTGACATTTCATTTTCCTACTATCTGGTAGTGTTCTAACATTCACACCAAGGGACTGTTTCCCCATCTCCGAACCCCACCTCCACCCCAAACCCCTCTAATACTAGAAGCTATGTAGATGGTGAACTTGGAATTTAAAAATAACAATAATAAATGCATGTAACATCACTGGCACAGAAGTTTGTATGGAATAATGATATCTCATGATGGCCAAACAGTTGAACTTCCATGTTTTCCTTTCATCCTCACGACAGATATGACAGCATATATCCATTATAAAATGTAAACCCGAATTGCATATATTCATTTATAGTGCCATGGTTTGCAGCACCTCTGACAAAGGGGTAGATTGGATTTAACTAATTGTCAACCGTCAGCTCCTTGCAGCAATTTTCTATATGGCTTTCAATTCGTATTTAAGATTAAACACTCTTCAAATTAAGACTGAGTCACTAACCAACTATTCTTATCTGCCCATGCTGGGTATTGCTGGATTTTTCACAGCAATGTGTGATGGATGTAGATCATCATTGCCTTGTTGAACATTAAGTAGTGCACTAAATTTTAAAGAAAACCAAAATCATAACAAAGTTCTCACAGGCTCAATACAAACGTTTCTCACCTGAGTTCTGATGTCATGAGGCTGCATTGGAAATAAAACAAAATAAAGATGCAGTATGTGTTAGTGGTGAATATGTATCACTGAGTGTCCATCGCATCCTAACTCTCTCTTTCTTGAGCCACTGTTTAAGATCTGTAAACATGTCCAGAGGTAACACATCATAATAATTAATCACGGCTTCTATGGCACGTTCCCGGTTCAGAGCACCGCACAGAAGGCTGTTAACCTGTCCGTGGTCACACAATGAGCCAGTGGCAAGACGAGGATCCCACGATTACCCAACTCCAAACAGCATTGATTACTTTCTATGCCAGTGTTTGCTTCACCTTCGCCTTGTCTGGTTACCCAGGCTCGGCGGTGCAGACCACAGAGTAGATGCGACTGGCACAACGTTTACAAACCGGTTGGCTGAGCCTGGGGTTCTTGGTTTAAACTTGGAGTTTTCCTTCTGCGAGGTGGCTGCCTGACATGGCTGATGAGCCCCACCTGCCCTAGTTCTGTGCCAATACTAAATAATAATAAGATTTTTCAAATGGGGATTGTGGTAGTGCCTAAGAGCCCCCGCACCGCACAGGATCCCATTGGGCCAGGTGCTGTACAAACACAAACACCTCTGCCACCAGTGCATCTTTGCCTTTTAACAAAAGGAACATTCCCACCTACCCTTGTGCCATGTAGAAATTAGAAGAGAAGAGCATGGAATCTGCGAGCCAACCTCCTTTCCAGTACGCATTCCTACCTGCTTCACACTGGGCTAGTGCATGTAAATTTGTTACATCCGCCCCATTCAATCCCACTGCTTGTCAATCGGGAGCCCCCTTTGGCTGCTGGCAGCCTGGCCCAGCTGGTCCTTTAATGGAAATGTTACTCCATCAGCTGCTCAGATGGGATTTCTCCTTGCCTGGCTATACATGATTGTTACTATAATGCAGTTCACTAACAGCTACAAGGTCAGAGCTGACAGTGCAAGTAGGGTGACCAGACAGCAAGTGTGAAAAATCGGGATGGGGTAGGGAGTAATAGAAGCCTATATAAGAAAAAGCCCCAAATATCGGGACTATCCCTATAAAATCGGGACATCTGGTCACCCGAAGTGCAAGGGACCAGACTGACTGATGCCATTGCACACATTTTGGAAGTACTTCTACATGCTATCCAGTGACTTATCTCTGCTGGGACCTTTCACACCAGGGCTGCAGTCTGTACGGTTTTCTGTACTCTCTGACCCCTATATTTCTTACCTCGGAGGTTGAGAACATGTGCGATTCAGTTCTGTAGATCCCAATGGGAATTTCTGCACTGGAAGAGCAAAGCTTCTGGAAGAGACGGCCATACGTCCGGATCCACAGGTCATCCTCAGTGATTTTCATCTGACCAACAGGGGGAAAAAAATGTCTCTTTGCTACCACTGAAGGGACCCCTCAGCAACAGGGCAATCCTGTCTTGATAAGGTCCAAAGCTGCAGAGATTGGATCCTGTTTTGAACTTCTCCAAGGCTCAGGGATGTTGAGACCCCGGGCTTTGGTTTGATCCCACAGGAAGGGCAGGGAAGGTGTGTGAGGTTCCTGTCGAACTCTCTTGGGATGGAGGTTGTTGTAAGGTTCAGCTCTACACTTAACTCTTATTGAACATGACATGGAGGAACCAATACACTGCCCAAGTTGGTGTGATTTTTGTCTCCCTCTAGAGGCCAGCCCCAGTGACTACAACCGTCTGCTATTCAGTGACAGACCTTCTTCTTTACTGTGGCTCAAGAGGCCTGTGCTTGGGGGCTGAAAGTCCCAGATTCAGTCCCCACAGAATGTTCACACGCAGACCCACACGCACGTGTGACCCCATTGTATTACAGCTTGAAAGAGACCAACATTAGCACTTACAGCACAGAGGTAGCCAGAACCCGGCGTGGTATCAAGGCCCAGCAGCAATCTCGTAATGGTGATCATGTAGTCCTTCACAAACGACTGACAGGAGAAATTCAGAGCGAGATCAGGCCAGAGAAAAGGTTTCACTTGTTCAACTGTTCACTTTAATGTACAAATGTATTGACAAACTGGAAAGAAGGTGAGATTATATTCTATATTCGCTTCTATTTGCTTCTTATATTGTGCCCACAGCCATGGTATCTGAGCACATTCCAAAGGTGAATTCAGTGATGTGACTAATATCTGCCACATGTGGCTCCTTCCTTCTCTCTCTCTCTTCCTCTCCTTAGGGGAAAACAGCATGTGGATTTATTTATTTTAACTCATGCTGCATTCGGTTTTTAAATGATTCTCTAAAATACAGGAAACCAACATCATTAACAAGAAGAAAGTAAAATGTGCCCTGAAGAGGGATACAACGTGGGCACAATGTAGAGTAATGTGTGCATTCAAATGGATCAAGGGTCCCTAAACTAGACACGTACCACGTATCAGGCCACACGCAGAACCCGGGGGATGCCACACAGTTTTAGAGAAGGGTACTAAAGGAGCAGAGAAAGCACGTGTAGAGCAAGGAGGCTGATGGCAGAAATGGAAGGGCCCTCTCATTAGCGTGCGTGAGACAGGTGATGGAAGGGCTGGACCTATAGGCCTGTCTATTCTCCAATTGTCCCCATTTCTATTTTGCTTTAAATTGGCAGACATTCCCTTGGGGAAGCTGATGGGCACAGCTGCCATGTCCTAATTCACCCCACTTGGGCTCTAGTCATCTATCAAACAGGGTCCTGAGGATGAGTGAGATTGCAATGAATGCCTGGGGAATCTCTGGGAGGTTTTACCTGAATCCTCTAACACAGAAGACTGAAAGGAAGGGACCCTTGCACTAGGGTAAGACCTCTCTCTGGATGGGGACCCCATCTTGGATATGGTGCTGGAATGCCTGTTCAGCACCCTCACCCTCAGGGCCGGCTCCAGGGTTTTGGCCAAGCAGCCAAAAAAAAAAAAAAAAAAAAAAAAAAGCCGCGCCCGCGCTCCGCGGCGGCAATTCGGCGGGAGGTCCTTCGCTCTGCGCGGGAGTGAGGGACCATCCACCGAATTGCCACCAAATAGCTGGACCTGCCGCCCCTCTCCGGAGAGGCTGCCCCAAGCACCTGCTTGCCAAGCTGGTGCCTGGAGCCAGCCCTGCTCACCCTAATACACCAGCAGCTGCAAGACAGAAGCAGCTTAGCCCTCTGAAGCATTCACAGCAATGCCACATAACCTGTTAGCTTGTTCTCACCTGATAGAGTAATGTATCCAACATGCTAATGCTGAACACTCTGCCGGCAGCAAACGGGAGCCGGAACATGAACGCAAGGTTGGAGCCATTCTCTCGCTCTTTCTATGGACAGAGAACACGGTGTGACAGTTTTTACCATTATGTTCACCACTTTTACAAGACTATGATACATTTTGTACAACGTATGTCTGGTGAGGTATCATTTAAAAACTCATAATCTGCTGAACATTGTTGTTCTGGTAAAACGTGTGCATCAACATTGTATGTAAAGTTACAAGATTTTACTATACAACATTGCTGTAACATATTCCAAGTTAGAAAAGGAAGCCCAAACCAGTTTTCAGAGACAAAGACACACTGGTTCCCCCAAGCAGGTGTTAATGGACTATCACCTGCTTAAGCGGCCATTCTCTGGGGAAGGTGTGAACAAGAATTTTGCATTTCATCACAAGGACGGTTCAAACCTCACGTCCACAAGAGACTGTTTGTTACCATGATTCTGCAAGGATGTTTCTAGCACAAGAAACTGAATTATAAAGACGGGAGAAAAACACTTCACCTCACTCTCCTCCTTCATTTGTGCTCATGACAACAACTCTTAAATAACTGAACTTGGGGCAGGGGGCAGAGTCCTGCCTGGGAGGCTTTTCAGATAGTACAGACTGCCCTAAACTTATGGTGAGAAACACCTTTTGCTTTTAAGTTCACTTATTTTAAAATTAAGTTAGGCATTTAGCTTGCGTTTTGTCTTTTTATTTCTTTTGTAACCAATCCTGACTTTTATGCCTCATTACCTGTAGTCACTTAAAAACTTTCTTTTCTTTCTGTAGCTAAGAAACTTGTTTCACTGTTTTATCTAACCAGTGTGTTTGGGATAACAAGGCTGGTACATAGCATTGTCCATTGATGAAATGACAGATCTCCGATGAGCTTGTTTTGTCCAGTAATGTGCTGGGCAATAGAAGAGGCACATTTCTGGGACTAGAGAATCTGCTGTGGTTCTTCTGCGGTGTAATTCATGAGTGGCGAGCTAGTAGCACTCAACACTGTGTAGCTGGGAGCAAGTTACACGCTGGAGGCTGGGTGTTACCAGGAGTGGCTGTTCCCCAGTAAAGCAGTGTAAAAGGCATCCGAGGCAGGAGAACTGAGGAGACACCGCTATTCAGCAGCCCAGATTGTACCCTGGGCAATGTCCCACGCGGAGAGGAGATGGTGAGAACGATGATGCCAAGGGGCACTGAAAAACCAAGAGGACCGGCTTGCAGTGAGCTCAGAGAAACAAGCCACACAACAGCCCCAGCCCTGGGGATTCCAGCAAGGGCTCTTCCTTCTTTCGAATAATGCCATAACGTCGAATTTAGTAGAGAGATGGTTGAAATTTTTTCATCGATTCACTTTTTGGATGAAAAATGGCATTTTGATCCGGATGAAAAATGGCATTTTGATCTGGATGAACATTTTCTTCTTGGTAGGAATTCCCCATTTTTCCCACTAAAAAATAAAAACTGAAAATTGGCAAAGTTTTGGTAAAAGTTTTTGGTAAAAAGTTTAGACTTGCAGTTTTCAAAAGCCTTTTTTTTAACCCAACACTGGTTTTTGAAAACCATAGGTTCTGGAAAGGGGGGAAAAGGTCCGTTTGTATTTTTCATTGAAAAACTGATTTTTTTCCCCTTGCAGGAAATTTTGGGGAAAAAAAACAAATGAAAAAAATCCCCACAAAAATAATTGGGCTCCTTCAACTGGCTCTTGCATTTAGGTGCCTGGCTGAGTCCCCGAACCAGCAAGGCACAAGCAGCAGCGGAGGTGGTGAAGTGAGAATCATAGAATCATAGAAGATTGGGGTTGGAAGAGACCTCAGGAGGTCATCTAGTCCAACCCCCTGCTCAAAGCAAGACTAACCCCAACTAAATCATCCCAGCCAGGGATTTGTCAAGCCGGGCCTTAAAAACCTCTAAGGATGGAGATTCCACCACCTCCCTAGGTAACCCATTCCAGTGCTCCTAGTGAAATAGTGTTTCCTAATATCCAACCTAGACCTCCCCCACTGCAACTTGAGACCATTGCTCCTTGTTCTGTCATCTGCCACCACTGAGAACAGCCGAGCTCCATCCTCTTTGGAACCTCCCTTCAGGTAATTGAAGGCTACTATCACCTTGGAGCCTATACACCAGCCCAAGCTCACCGCGAGCAAGAAGCAACATTTCTGGATTCCATGATCTGACACTGGATCCCACTCTCCAGAGGCTGCTGAAGTTTAGCACCACAACCACCCTTGGGGGCTGCATCCTGGGGGCTCCTGCAGCAATGTCCAGCACAGATGCATTCCCATTATGCCGGGTGTAATAGCTAGCGGATCTCTGAGCACAGCTTCCCCGGTCAGTTCCTGCCTTGATCATCCCCCAGCATGGAACACACGGGGGTGAGTTCTGTGTACTAGTTACACCTTCTCTTCTCCCATGATCAGTGAAACTTGGGGGTGCAGGGGAGGGCCGGGAGAGAGATTTTTCCCTTAAGCAATATAGGTTTGCAGTATGTACAAATGCAGTCATTAGATCTGCCTTTCTAGCCCGATGCGTTCAGCATCTCAGATCAAATTTCCCTTCGAAGGCAACAGCAGCTGTATTTTCTAACTGTCTAACACCCATCCATCATACACCCCCGGCTGGATACCATAGTACAGACAGACAAGGGCCTAGCTCTGGCATTTGCAGACATGGCTATCTTGAAACTGTGTTAACTTAATAATTATCTTTTACTCCCTGGGTGGCAAATTCTAGCACTGGGTAACAAATTTCTCTCTCTTAACACTGGGGCCATTCAGATAATTATTAACACCAAACCTCAGAACTTAAGACTATTCCTGGATCCCCTGGCAACAGGCTCTGAGTGCAGCTCAGAATTAATAAAAGCCGCTATCGAATCTCAGCTGTCCTCAAGTGGTCAAAGAGGGAGCCTTGCACGCAGAGTGTAATAATGGTCAGGCAAGGCTGTGGATAGGAGAGAATGAAGCTTCTCATTTCATCACAGGGAACTCTGGGGATCAAAACATTATTGCATTTAACAGCTTTCCTGAGAGACTGCAGAGTACCTCACGTCCAGGGTCTACCTGCCATGAGATTAATAGAAATGTCATTGTAGCCATTTGTTATTTTAAAAGAAGAAAAGTCAACGGAAGTTCCTGATACTTATGATTTGTACTGCTGTAATGTCGCTAGACCCCCACCAGCCTAGAGGCTGCATAGACACAGAGTAAGTGTCTGCCCCAAAGAGCTTATAGTCTAATAGACAAGCCAGAGCTATTGTCCCCATGGGAAACTGAGGACAGAGAGGCTAAGGGACTTGCCTAAGGTCACATGGGGAGGCCAGAGCAGAGCTGGGAATCCAACTCTGGTCTCCAGCATCTTAGCTATAAGACAATCCTCCTTCTCAACATGGCATGTTTCACAGCAGCCTGGTGACAGCACATTCATTGCTGACGTAGCTGCATCCTACCAAGATGGCGACCTCGCCCAGTAAAGCCAGCCTCGCACTTACGCCACCACTGACGTCTGATTGATTCAGCTGGTTCTCCTGTGATGGAGAATCCATTAGCTTCCTTTGGCGTCTTGGTCCATTGCAGAACTTTGGGTGTTTCTGTTTCTCTTGAAGTTCAGGATACACATGGAGCCCCTGCCCACTTGTCCTATCCTCTCTGATCCCTGTGCCATATCTGTAACATCGGTGCTCATTTGCAGAGCGTTAGGTCTCTTCTCTGATGGAGAATCTGCCCAGTAGTAACTGGATGGCCCGCAGTCGCATCCTGAAGGCAGGGGGTCAGATCATGACCTTTGACCAGCTGGCCATGGCAGCCCCCAAGGGCCAGGGCACCGTGCTGCTCTTGGGGCCCAGGAAGGGACGCAAGGTGTACCAGCACTTCGGCAAGGCCCCCGGCACCCACAGTCACACCAAGCCCTACGTGAGCTCCAAGGGACGGAAGTTCGAGCGGGCCCGGGGCCGCCGCGCCAGCCTGTGTCCAATAAATGGGTCAGAACCGTGGGGGGGGAAAAGTAACTGGATGGATGCTCTATCAGCCACAATGACAGCAAGGTCCAGCAGGGCAGTTTATCTATGACAGATCTTTATGCCCAGCCCCTAGAGCCTTTCAATTCAGAGATTGCCCTCAGAGACCGGTCATTATGAGGCAGTTAGGAAAAAACAGAGAGAGATGCGGGGGAGGGGGAATATAGTTCAACATTGAGTTTATGCTGGTTTTGATTCTCTCTGAATTGGTTCAACCACCCTTAATACACAACACCATGAATGCAGTACAACATATGTGTGCGTGTGTGTGTGTGAGGGTGAAAGAATTGAAAATCTTTTACCTTCCCCTCAAGAGAGGGCACTGAGACCGGGCAGTAGGATCAGAGATGCCAACTGTCCTGGTTTTGACTGGCACAAGCTCAGCAGACGACCGTGACAAACTATGAGTGCTTTCATTTGTTACGGCTGTCAGTGCAGCATCTCAGACACTCACACGGTCTGGTTCAGTTATTCCTTGAATGTTTCCCCTTCCCATCAACTGTTATTTCTACCCCACAAAAATGCCTAAGCAACATGTCATATAAACATTGAATGTAATTTGATGCAGAAGTCTCTTCTCGCAGAATTATTTAACCCACCACCGCAGCGGGAGCATTGTACCGAGTAACTAAAATCAGACTCACAGCAGGGACAGCTTTGAAGAGTGCCGATGCTAGTCGCACTAACTAAGGAAACGCAGAGACCCACAAGGTCAATTGCCTGCATATTTGCGTGTCTCAGATTATCCTGGGTGGATGTTCATTAACTGTGGTGCCTGCAGTGCACAGCAGGAGAGTGCAGGACTATGAAGAACTGTAAATTAATTACTCATTACAGAACCCTTCCTTCAAACACAGGCATGCAGGGAACTCACCAGGCTTCCTGTTAGCAAACACATCTGGGAGGAAAGGCAGAGATCCTCCCCATGGCGAAGGGGCTTCCTTACCTTTTCAAGTTTGGAGAGGGCCAAGGAATAACTGTCCTTTGCTCTGAACTGCATGAACCTCATATTGGACGGGTGGGTCAGCTCGGTGATGATGCTAAGGCTTGGAAACAGCCTGCAATGGAAGGCAGACTCGTCAACGTCTGATGCTCGTGCATTCCAAGAGAGGCGGAGAGGAGGAAACTTTCAGCTTTGAAATGTGGCCAAATAAAGAGTGGAAACGGCCTTGTGCCCCATCTGAGATCCGAAACAGGCTGGGGCTAGAGCACCAAAAGCTGTACAAGCAAGGCCGGCCCCAATACCACCTCACTGACCCCCCTTTTAATTCTCTATATTAACTGGAGTGATGCTAGGTGCACACCGACAGCGTGGCTGGCGATGCACAAAGCTGGGGACAGAGTGCAGGGACTCTCCTTATTAACTAGCACGCCTGCGTGCAAGGGCCAGCTGCAGGCCGTGTCAAACACAGGAGCCCACCCCGGGAACCCAGACCTAATATCTGCTATCGATGCCTGACCCTGCAAACCCTCGGTGTGCAGAATCCCCTCTCACACCAAGGACAGTTCAACTCATTGCAGAAAGGGCCAGCTAATATAGGCACCTCCCATCGGATAGCTCGCACCCTCTGCTTGGGGCCATTCTCAGTCTCTTGTTTCCATTCAGACAAATAAAATACTGTAAGAAGAGAGGCAGGCGCAAACGACAGCAGAACTCAGAGCTGCTTCTTACCGGAACATGGTCTGGACGTTGACAATTGTTTTTGCGTCTGCCATGTAATCCTCCTCTGCGCTCATTGTGCTTTCCTTATCCACAACCACCAAGTTGTCAGCATAAATGATCCCACACTGCAGCAAACTGTCGAGGCTGGAACAATCCCCCAAGACAAAAGGTTGTGGGGGGGGTTTAATCCATTGGAAAATAAGATGCTGAATGATAGTTTGCAACCATACCCATGTCTTTGCACAGAACAAATGCCCAGACCATCCTGTGCATGCAAAAGTCTTTTGAAATAACCATAACCATGTCCAGTGCAGACTAACAAATCCTAGGAGGGGGAAAAAATTGAGATGAAGCCCAAACTATTGTACAGTGGCAGGGTCTTAAAATGCGACCCTCTCCCAACTTTAGCTGTGCCAGTTAGAGAACCCAAGAAATCAAATGTATGATACGTCTGCTAGGTAAGAAAGAGCCTAACCTAATTCTAGATGGTTGTGCTCCAATACTACAGTGATGGGAGTCCGTATAACTACCCAGACTCACGGACAGAAAAGTGGGGCTAGTCTTGGAAGTAGAGATGGAGAAGACCAGCTCCGAATTCCCCTGAAGCCCTGGGGAAGTTCAGCTCGGAATACAAACTTCACTGCTGCTGTCCATGCCTATAACGTGGGGATCAGCTAAGTAGGATGGGAGCAGCTACGCGCCATTGATTAGGCTTTATGAGCCTGCATGTGAAGCCGATTATTCTTTCAGTCCCTATGGTAAATACTGGTCCTTATTGCCAGTGACCCTGTATGCCTGGGACTGGCAATATAGCATCACTTTGCTTATTTAATTTTCCTCTGGAGAATCAGGGCTATTTTCTCCCTTGATTTGCAACACATTGTAAATAACTATAGTTGTATACAAGACACCTACTTATCGATCGTGCCTTCCATGTAGTAAACCATGGGGAAACAACAGATGGCTTCCAAGAAGTGGTTCTCAGGCCTGGAAGAAGAGAGGCAAACAGCAAGAAGGTTCATAGGGGCATTTTCTTTTCCTCTTGCTTACTAGTATAAATCAGGAGTGAATGCACATAAGTCAATGGTGAAAAACAGAGTGACAGGAGAATCAGGCCATCAGATACACTAGATTTTAGGTATTATATTAAAAATGCTAAAATCACCCATTTAACTCCTCCCATATATACACAGTATGAAACACCCATTTGAATGCAAGGAAAGATCGGATGCAATGGAAAACAACTTTGGAAGAGTACTTGCTTGTTGTCCAGTAGCAATACAATTGGATTTAACTCTTTCCGGGACCTATAGTATGCACGGAGAGGGACGATGAAATTATACAGGCCATTCCCAGCAGTCTCTGCTGAAACTATAATCAATTTGTTCTTAAACCCATAGGCCTTGGCATCTTCATAACTGTTGTGCTTGCAGCCCTGTGCAGAGACAGAAAAGCACCGTGGCTCAGTGATCAGTCTATAGAGCTGCCCATCTGTCCTGACACTGTGTGTTTTCCCCCCGGAAAGGGGAACTGTCTAACATTCAGACATGGCAAAAGCCCTGAGCCAGCTCGGCTCTGAGCCGTGAACTGTGCAGAACCTCATGAGCACCCAGAGTGAGAGAATGATCCTGCAGACGGTTGATCTAGAGAGGATTTGGAATGTACCCAAATTTCAACCTTCTGGGTCTGGGCCTGAGGGCTTTGATGGCCGCACGCCCTAGCTCACTTTCACTATTTTTTCTTTTTGCAGTTTGGAAAGTGAATTTTGTGCTGCTGGAAGGGATCAGACTAACCAGTCCTGAAGAGGTTCGCTCTCTACTAACCAGGCCTAGCCCAACGCCAGCTCTCCCAAACTGCCCCACATGTGCCCTGAACCTGACTCGCAGGGATACCCTCAGTCTCCAGGTCTAGTCAGTCCTTGGGCTCACAGCTGAGACTTCTAAAAAGGAGGTCAGTTATTATGGTGGGTTTAGTGCTAAGGACTCCTGCCCAGGAGGGACAAGACCAATGACTTGTTTCATAGACCCCAGGTTGTCAGAGAATAACAACTTTCAGTGACTGCTGAACTGGGATGTGTTTGAACCAGTGACTTAGGTCAGACACATGAAGGTGCCTTTTTACATGACCAGTTCCCAACAGTGCAATCACAGCTGGCTTTGGGGAACCCTGCCAGGCATACCCTGAAGTTCAGATGTTTCCCTTGTGGATCAACGCCCGGAGAGCGACAAGCCTCTAACACGTCACTGAGACGAATTCTGAGTTTAAGTTAAAACTAATACTGTTCCCCACGCAGGGCTGGTTCCTCAGCTGGTGGGAACCATCGATTGACACCAGCTGAGGATGTGTCCCCCGGGTGTCTTTAACCTTACTTTTGCACTCCCCTTAACCTGCTGCTCTAACTTATGCTGGCTGCAAAAGACCAAATTGGCCAAACTACAGCTGCAGGACTGATGCATGAAGGTGTCCTGGCGAGTAAATTGGCTCCATGCCGCTGGAATATCAGGCTTAAATGGGGGTCACTCTGCCAGGCTCAGTCAATCAGTCTTTCAGACTAAATTTCCCTGGCAGGGCAATGTAAAGCAGCCGCACTGGCCCCTCCTCAGGATGAGTTAGCTTATATTAAGGAAAAACAAGCAAAGGAAGAACAAAAGTAAAGTCTCACTGGGAGTGAGCACAGTGTCTGCTCTGTAACAAGCTGCCTCATCCTGCCTCGCAAAATGGCAGCTGCCACTGAAGACACCAATCTCCTGGGAACTTCAAGGTGCAATACACAGAAAACAGCCACCCGGTTGTACAAAGCCCTGTAATTATTGCTTAAAAGGAAAAGTTTACCCCAGAAAACTAGAGACGTTCCTGCATCTTTTCAATAAAATGTTTCCAGCCCCTCACAGATAACAGTGCGAGGAAAGCAAACACGCTTTACAAAGCCACGAAGTAACCACCAGTCGACATATCACATCTCCTGCATGACTCATTCTGCTGCACGGGATCTGCACAGGACTGGCCTGGCACGTTTGAGCTGCTGCCAAAAAGCAGGTGTTTTCACATTCTCGTTTTCCCAAGTAAGCATTACATCTATTCCCCCTGAAGCCACCGAAGAGACATGCTGCGTGCTTCGTACAACTCCAACCAGCAGCATGGTCCAGTGCTAACGCACAGGGCTATGTGCAGATGTAGGGTCTATTCTCATCCCTATCACTGACCCAGTGTAACTGCACTTCTGTCTATCTAAGGTGCATATATGGCCCCCATAGCTGTATTGATCTCCTCACAATCTTTAATGTATTTATCCTCATTCCACTCCTGGGACTAGGGAAAATACTAATGGCCCCATTTTACAGATGGGGAGTTGATACACAGATTTAGTGACTTGCCCAAGATCACATACAAAATCTGTGGTGGAGCTGACCCCTGGTCTCCGAAGTCCCAGGCTTGTGTTCTCACCACTGGGGGGAATAATGCTGCCCTACCTTAGCAACATGCTTCAAGCCCCTGCCACAAATGCAAGTGCAAATAACATCACTGGAACCTTTAAATACTGTCACAGCAGCCTCTTACCTTGTCCAACCTCAAGCAGCAGAAAGGGGCTTTTACAGGTAGAAGGTGGCACAAAGTGGGAGAACTCCCAATATAGGGCGAGTTCGGGGGGTAGCCTTTCACATATCTGCAGAGGAGACAACATGCATCAGGGCACATGTATATTTTTCACACACAAGGAACACTTATTTGCCCTGGCAAACACATTTGTCCATACACAGACTGTTTAGAAACACTGGAACCTCATGGGTTTATGCAGATCACACTAAGGATGTTTTATAAATTCTTCCAAAACAGCCTGGGAATTTTTCAAGATAAGTTTCTTTGAAAATACTTTTGCCATGCCCAGGCTCCGGAAATACCTTTTAAAGTCTTTGTTCTCATGGACAGCCAGAGAACTAAGCAGACTGTGGAAGATAAAGACATCTAGCAACTTTTAACAGCAATGGGCCTGAACCTACATCTTAAATCTAAACATCACAGAATGGCAGAGCGTTCCAAGACCGATTCAGATTCACAATCTCACAGCACATTTGTAGGTGGGTTTTTTTTAAAACATCCTGGACATACTGTAATTTGTGTTTCTGATATAACGGAAGGAATAGAAAGCTTTTAGCTTACAAAGTAATTAAAAGTATACGTTAAATTATAAGCCAGATAAATTTGTGTGAGCGTGGACACACGCATCTGCACAAATTGTTTATCTTGTAAGAACCAACACACACACACACACAAACACACACGATTTATTAAAGCCATGTCACAAATGAATGCAATGCCGACTGCTACTTTAAATGAATATTTTTACAGCTGGAATCAACATTTTATTTCCCTAATGATGGAGAATGCCGAATACAATCCCTTCACTGCCCCGGAGGTAGCAGAGGAAAGGGATCTGGTGGGAAAATTCTCCTTAGCCCACAAAGTGCTTCTAGCTCAGCGTGACTTATTCAGAGATCAAGGGAAGCTTGTCCAAAAAACAGCAAGCAAGGAACTGTGAATTAGGCAAAACTGCTTCACCGTCAGTGTCTGAGAAGTTAATGTTTTGAACATACTGAACTGACCACATGGTGTTGCTCCAGCACCATTTTATTAACATAACAATCGTTGACATAATTTCTGCTCGGCTCAGCAGGTCACTGCGGATAACATTCAATCACAGTTTCCACAGCAATATAGCAGAAGCAGAGTAAAAACTATTAACGGGAGGTTAATTTATGCAAACGGGATTTTAGTGAAGGGTAAAATAATTTCATTGGGTTTGTTCTTCCACTCCACTGGAAAAGGCGAAATACCAAGATGAGCCCTGCTGGCTATCTTAATAGACAGCACAGATCTGAGGACCTTTTTCGGTTCTCGCTGGTGATTCCTGCATTGCACTTCAATACTGGCCTTGCTCTCTTGGAAGTCAAAAGTCCCACTGATTTTAACAGGACCAAGATCAAGGCCTTAGCAATGTGCTATCAATAGTATTATTTAACGTTCATATTATGGTAGTGCCCAGTGGCCTCAGTCGGGAACAAAGCCCCATGGCACCAGGGGCTGTGCATACAAAACAGTGATTAACTGTTCAACTCTCGTGCCTGTAGCTTATCAGTAATAAACAAAAGACAGATGCTTTGTTACAGCGTCTGCAGGCAACAGCCAGGGGCGCCTCACCTGAGAAAGTCCCTGATTCAAGGCTGAGCGGGATCACTACTCTCCCTTTGTCCATCCCAGGGCAGACTAATGCTTTCTTGGTGTGTTTCATACAGGTGTAAATTAACTGCTGAAGTATATAAGTAGGAGTCATGAGAAAAATTGGCCAAAGGAAAATTTAGTCTGGATAGCAGGAAAAATTCCCTAATGTTGAAGCTCATTGGGCTTCGTCTTCCCTACCTCCGATTCCTGCCTTCAGTCACTGCCGTCACTGCACTAGTACAAACTCCTAGTGCAAACCAGGAAAGCGGCACTTTATACTGGTGGAGCTTAACTCAGGCTGGGATGGTGGCAAATCCTCAGTGTAGCCAAGACATTAGACTTTGGAATGGTGACCCAAGAGAAGTGATAGAAAAACCACTGCCCGGGTCACCTGAACTAAATCAGAGAAAACATTCAACAATACACAGTGGGGAACAATGGTGCACTGGCTATGAGTTGGAGGAGACATCCTACCTCTTAGGTCTCCTCCACCCCTAATTTCTATTATTCAAGCAGCTGCAACATGAGATCATTTTACTGCTGTACATTTAACTGAGGTGTCCCTTGATGAAAAAGAAAAACCGCACAGAACACAGCTCAGATCGCAAATTCCCTTATATCTGATTTTATTGTTCCATAACTCCAATCCAGTTAGGCAGGACTGTATGACTGTATTTTAGCGAGGGCCTGTCTAGGCACGATTCCTCATTCCTTTTCCTTGCCACCCTGGGGTTGATCGAATTACCCGATGGCATCATACAGAGTAACACCCTTCAGCGCAGGATCTTTGCTTTTAAAGATGCACGCTCAAAAATTGCAACTTGGTGCTTTTATAGCTCAAATATAGTTTATGCACCACAAATATTTCCTTCTTTGAATAACTGCCTTCTGCAAGGCTTCTTGCACCTTTCTCTGAAACAACTGGTGCAGACCACTGTCAGAAGCAGGCCACTGATCTGAGCCAGTCTGGTCATTCCTATCTTTCTAAACCTCTCTCTTCTTTTGAACAACCTGCAGTATTTACTGTTGCTCTAACATAGGCTTACAACTATGTTCAATTTCCAGCAATTTCTGCATCTCTCAAACTTTTTTTTTTAGAGAGAATCTTTAATTCAATTAAATTGAGATTTAGCTGAATACATGTGTGCCCAGTGCTTTGAAGATGGAAGAGACAAGATAAATGGTAACTGTTATTAGATTTAGAGACAGGGTTATGTTAAACCCAGATGGATTTATAAAAACCGCAAAGAATGTGTATTTATTGCCAATTGTTGAGAGATGTCTCATTGTATCAACTCAAAGCCCAGCTCAGAAGTGCAGCTTGCTTAGGTAGGTGCAATAAGAGGTTATCCCAATAGAAATAAGTAAATAATAATCGTAGCAAGCTCACCAACTTTTAACATCACAGCTGGGTTTTCAAAGGAACCTACGGTACTTAGATTGTAAGCAATTTCAGGCAGGTGCCATTTTTGGCCTGTGTTTCTACAACCACCACCATCCTGATTCATGATCAGGACTCTTTACTCACTACCACAATATAAATCATGACATAATAATAATAATAATAATGGAGTTAGTTGAAAGACGATGGTAATTGGACACAGAAGCCCCCTTAAAGTCTTTTGAAAATCCCAAGCCACACAGAGCTGATTGCTTATCCTGATGCAGTGACACTAACATTAAGAGATGATGCTCTCAAATGGCAACTCACTCTACAACAGTAAGTCCTTCGTCATCTGACTGCGTCATCTCATCTTCTGACTGGTCGCTGAGCAGATCACAGGGCAGGAGGGAGGAGCTGTCTGCTAGCTCTAGGACCGGGGCAATGCTGGGCCGTCTGTTACCCGATCCATTTTCCGATGGCAGGGTCAGCTTGCTGCTGTTAACAGGGCGACATTCCGTGTTCTGCAGGTCCATGGCTACTGTACCTGGAAAGGAAGAGGGAGGAAGGACAATATAAATAGCAATAAATAATGATTCTGTCCAGTGTCTTATGCAATGGCACTGTGGGGAAGAAAGAACAGGAAGAACGTCCAGTTACACTTTGTATTACGGTTCTATTTATAAACAGTCTACAAAATCAGCTAGTAAATGATGAATAGATGGTATAAGCATGTTACAGACATCAGTAGGACATATTACCAGATGGTTCTAAGCACATCAGCATAAGGTGTTGCAGATGGTTCTAAGCAACCTATTGACCCATTAGACTCTATAAAAATTGGTTACCTCTTTATTAAGACAGCTATTAATAATTTATAAATGGAACTTTGATATAAAGGGTAGCCAAATACTTATATCCCAGACACAAGACGGGAACTTTCACTAGCTCTGCTGTATCAATAGGACTGCTTGCACTCGTAAAGCTAAGCATGTACTTACGTGTTTTGGATCGGGGCCAGAGTGCTCAGAACCTTGCAGGATTGGACCCTTGTACTGACAGAGGTTTGCGATAGAGCAAAACTGAATCTGTGTTCATCAGGGTAATGATCGATATACAAGGTGCCCCCTTCACTGTACGGCTGGGAAATATTTGCACTTCTCAGGCGTTCTGACATATTCACAATGACATCCAAAGCCCTCGACAGGCAAGATTTCAATCCTTCATTGGGAATTTATAAAATTGGTCTGATTTATAAAAATCTTGGAGAACAATATCTGACAAAACTTGAACTAACCCATTCTGAAAATGTGGAGAACATTTATACCTGAGCTTATGCTATTCAATTCCAAGGGGACATTGACTCTGAAGCCAAACAATAAACATGTAAACACACTAATGAACAATTTCATTGCTCGGCAGAGCTCACAGGACAGGCAAGGGATGATCAGATTATGGAGCTCTCTTGTGAGGGAAGTCTCATTTTGGCATGTCACAGGGACAGAGCTGGATTTTGGGAGGGTTTAAGAGGGGTAACGTCTTCCCTCAATTCGACCCGTTCTTATTTGTGATTCTAATTGCTATTATTCCAACTCACTGAATTCCCCGGATAGCACAATACATTTTCTGACTATATTTGAACTCAAAATAACCCATATTTGACTGGAACATCTGAGGGCAACCACTGTCTCCCATAGTTTCAAAAATGGGAACATTCTGCTTGCTTGCACAGTTGCTATAGCAAGTATTTTGCTGCTTACGAACATTCTGGAGTCCTAAAAGCTTGGTGCAGAAAAATCACATCATAACATACAATGTGAAAATATCCCCGCGTGGCAGCTGCTCCCCTCCTCACGTGGCCTGGTTTCCAAGCAGCTCATCAGCAGATCTTATGCTCTTTTTGAATGCTGAAAGCAGTGACCCCACAACGGAGCAAGCAGCCACTGGCATTATGGGCTATAACTAAGCCTGCGAGTCTGTCACGGAGGTCATGGAAGTTACGGATTCCACACCCCCCAGAGCACCCACGGGCCCCCACCCAAGTTTTAGTTGGGGGTAGATAGTAAAAGTCATGGACAGGTCACGGGCTGTGAATTTTTGTTTACTGCCCATGACCTGTCCATGACGTTTACTACCTGTGACTAAAACGTAGCCTTAACTATAAAGAATAGTCTGCGCTTTTCTTTTTCTGAAAAGTCTTAGCTGTAGAACTACGAGGCTTTTGGTTACCATACTGTTTTTCATGGGAGAGATTATCAGAAACACTGAGGGATTTAGGAGCGCAAGTCCTACTGAACTTCAAGTCTCTTAAATCCCTTACACACTTACGAATTACACCCTTGCCACCGACATTCCTCACCAAAGAATCCTCAAACATTTGAGATTAAAAGAAAAAAATGTTTCAAACCGCTCATTTTCTTGCATTCAGAAATAAGTTCCACATTCACTAAACTATGTCCAAGTTCTTGTTAAAATGTGGGTACAGTTTTGGCCACAATAGAAACCGGAGCATGGATCCAAGGAGAATATTACAAGAATGACTGGAAAAAGGATTTTTGTTTTAAACCCATGGATTAGTCATAGTCAAATGAAAATGTCAGACACCTGGGAATTTAAAAAATACAATGAGAAGTCACCGGTAAAATACCCACGCCAGACTAATATGTCTCATATCCTTTTATGTTTAAGTGGAACCACTTTGTATCTTTCCAAATGGCCAGTAAAAACCTAGTTGTGTATCTCCATAATAGCTTGAGTGGGTTGGATGTAGTCAGTAGCTGGAAAGGAGATTTAGGCCTACTCTACAATGTGTACAGTGCCACAGCTACACTGATCTAGGTATCCTGGAAACCTTCTATAGGAGAGGCCGTTTCTATCACCTTGCAGCCCACATGGAGCTGCATCTTGGTGGTGGCTAAAGCACTGCTATCAACACATCCCTCTTACCACGATCATGGGTTGTTGTGAGTTCAGACGATTAGTTCACATTCGTAAAACATGGTGCAATCTGCCGATGGAAGGGCCTAAAGATTTTCGGAGCGGTATTATTAACACCATCATCCCTGGCTCATCCCTCGCTCTCCACCCTTGGCTCTTAAGAGCAGCGTTTGTCCAGAGAACGCAAGGATTATTTTTCTTAACTCTTTCAGCTTTACCTTCATGAATCTTTCTCTTTCCCAAGCTGTAATTCATAGCAGCGGGGAGCTGTTAACCTCACTGATTCATAGCCTCCTGCTGTCTCACAAAGACAATGCACCTCCAGCTCAGTGCTTGCTCCTCTTCCCTGCCCATTAAAACCCCTGTCGGCTCCATCCATGCTGTAAAATAAATGTGGCTCAACATGTGGTGCCAAAACATGCAAAGCCAGGACAAAGCAAGGCCAGAACATTGCTCTTGAGTGTTGCCATCTCATTAAATATTCAAAATGGAGAGTCTGGGTGGGATTTTCAGCCCACATAAGAGAATTAGGCACCCAATGACTTTCAATGGGACTTGGGCACTTTTCTTCCTCACTTCCTCGAAAAAATCCCACCTCTTTTCTCCTACCTACTTGGGCCAGGATGTTCAGAAGTGATTCTGGGTTCCTTCATTCTTTGGGTGCCCAGCTTGAGACCCCTAACAGGGGCCTGATTTTCAGAGGGAGGGGGTGCTCAGCGCTTTCCGAAGATCAGGTGCTTTTAAGGTGTATTGAGTTGGAAACTCAAACTCAGCAGTCACTTTTGGAAATCGTGACCATCGGCTTTTCATGAATCTGCGTCAAACGCAAATATTTTTAAATAGCTACAAAAGCGGTGAATGCCACGGTGAACAAAGTGCAGGAGTTCGGCTCGCTCCCCCTCGTTGCTAGCCAACTAGCTGAATGCTGAGTGACCTACTTGCAGAATATAATTTCTATCTATCTCTCATCTGACTTTTGAAAAAGCTCCCACTGAGAACAAGCAAAGTAACAAGAACATCAGCCAGTGCTGTTCAGCGAGGAGCTTTGTGTCTTGCTGCTGGGAGAATCTTTGCAAGTTTATGCTCTTGAGTGTAAATGGATAAATGATTTGTCTGAAATACAGTCTCCTGTTGTGCCTGGGCTTCTCCTGACAAACCCCCCATTTCAGGCTGCCCAGAGAGAAGCTGGAAATAATGTTTCATGGTATTTTGGAGAAAGTGCATCATGCACTTCAGAGCGACCTGCGCCATTTGCCAAGTTATGCAAGATAAACAGGATTTAAAATGCAGACAATAGAGCCTATTCTTCTGTCCAAGGCCTGGGGTATTTCTGGGAGCAAGTAACTTTAATGCTAATGGACGGGCTGGGCAGTAACACCACTTAGCATTTGCAGGGAGTATTTTCCATCCGAGAAGCTAGAGGGGGAGAAGTAGCGTTATCCCTGTTTTACAGTCGTAGGTTCCAAGGCCCAAGAGGCCCACTGTGATCATTTAGTCTGCGCTCTATTGCACAGGCCCGAGCACTTCCCCACAATAATTCCTGTTTGACCTAGAGCAGATCTTTTAGAAAAACATCCAATCTTGATTTTAAAATTGCCAGTGATGGAGACTCCACCATGACCCTTGGTAAGTTGTTGAAAATGGTTAATTACTCTCATTGTTAATGACTCCCACTGCCTGCTTTCCAGCCTGAACTTGTCTAGCTTCAGCTTCCATTGGATCTTTTTATGGCATCCTTTGCCTGTTAGACTGAAGAGCCCATTATCAAATATTTGTTCCCTGTGTAGGTACTCATAGACTGTGAGCAAGTCACCCCTGAACCTTCTCTTTGTTAAACTAAATACTTGAGCTCCTTGAGTCTTATCACTATAAGGCACGTTTTCCAATCCTTTAGTGATGCTTGTACCTCTTCTCTGAACATCTCGGCAATTTATCAACAAACTTCTCGAACTGTGGACGCCAGAACTGGACCCAGAAATCCAGTAGCGGTTGCATCAGTGCCAAATACAGGTGAAAAACCTCTCTACTCCTACTCAATCGTCCCTTGTTTATGCAGTCAAGGAGTACTCCAGCTATTTTGGCCTCAGCATCACACTGGGAGCTCATGTTCAGCTGATTACCCACCTTGACCCCCAAGTCCTTATCCCAGGATAGAGCCCCCATCGGGGAAGTATGATCGACGCTCTTTGTTCCTAGATGTCTGTATTCACACGTGGCTGTATTAAACCACAGATTGTTCCTTTGTGCCCAGTTTACCAAGGCTACATCTACACTACAGGGGGGAGTCGATTTAAGATACGCAAATTCAGCTACGTGAATAGCGTAGCTGAATTCGACGTATCACAGCCGACTTACCCCGTTGTGAGGACGGCGGCAAAATCGACTTCTGCGGCTTTTTGTCGGCGGCGCTTACTACCACCTCCCCTGGTGGAGTTAGAGCGCCGATTCGGGGATCGATTGTCGCGTCCCAACGGGACGCGATAAATCGATCCCCGAGAGGTCGATTTCTACCCGCCGATTCAGGCGGGTAGTATAGACCAGACCCAAGAGACTACTTCACCCTGTGTCTGATGCCTGTCCTCTCCATTATCTAACTCTCCAAATTTTTGTGTCATCTGCAAACTTTAACAGTGATGAGTTTATGTTTTCTTCCAGTCGGTGGGAAAAAAAAAAAGTTAAATAGAGTAGGACCTAGAACCGATTCCTGTGGGACCCCACTGAAAACACACCTGGTCCACCCTGATTGCCTGGTTACAATTACATTTTGAGACCTGTCAATGAGCCAGCATTTAATCCATTTAATGTGTGCCATGTAGATTCTGTATCGCTCTAGTTTATTAACCAAAATGTTGTGTGGTAGCAAGTCAGATGAGGAAACCCAGACAGTGGCTGGGTCGGGAATAGAATCCTAGGAGGGAACGTTCGGGTCAGCTGCGTGCAGAGAGCTAGGTGGGTAAAGCCATGGGCACCCTACCCTTGTTATTCTTTTTATTTATAGTTGTATGTATCACCTGAGAGCCCCAGTCATGGGGAAGGACCCCATTGTGCTCAGGGCTGTGCAAACCCAGAACAAAAATACTTTCTCTTGCCATCATTTTGTTACAGCTAGGAGAGGTCGATCCAGCCAAGCCTTTTTCGTTGGGAATAATTCAATATAGTACTTAGTGATGAATTTTGCTGGCAAGGTTATAGCTCACAGAGACCAGGCAGGAGGATGAATCATAGCAAATACAGCTTAGCCCGCTCATGCCATGAGGTTAAAAAGCCATTAGTGACAGAGCCTCACTGCTTTCCGCAGCAAACGAGTGGAACTTCGTTACTATAAGCCCTGGAATTAGGCAGTGAAATATGGAGGGACAGCCTAAAACCAGAGGGCTACAGGGAACTGCTGAAAAGCTGCTGTCTAGCCCCTTTGCAATAATGGCAGAGCAGGAGAGCACCTCACAGGCCAAGTACGGGGAGTAGCCAAAACGCAGGCCAGGTACACGCCCATGCTGTGAAGCGAGAGCAGGCATTCCCGTCTGCTCGCTGCTGCTGCTGCTGAGATCTCTGCGACCGATTCACACAGTACCACAGCGCAATCCCTTTGTCCCACTGCAAATCCTATTTACTGTGCAGAGCAATGACCCCGTCCCAGTAGAAATACATCCGAGGCAAACTAATACCTGCCTCATAAATATCCTGTGCTGCAGCAACTCCAGTCTCTCCCGGGCATGTTCGAGCACTTCACAAGCAAGGCAGGCCAGGCACAGACGTTACCACGGGTTTGGTCGAACCCTCCTGAAAGGGACAGCTCTGGGAAGCCAGCGCTCCCGCACACGAGGCCTGTAGGGGAGGGGGCACATGGCCTTCCAACCCGGCAGATCCTAGGGACTCATGAGACAGGGGATAGAGGTAGAAGTAATGGACCGCTCCCACCTGGAATGGCTACCTCTCCTTGCTAGTGCTTGGGCCCCCACTCCCCTGGCAATGAGGCTCCAGCAGGAGCCAGGCTGCCATTGGAGGGGTCTCTTGTGGCAGTACAGTAGCAGCGTCTGCTGGTCGCAGCATTAACTCCCAATGGATGTGTCCCGGGGCAGCTGGCCACAATGCCTTCTAGAGAAGCTGGTCCCTGGATCCACCCTTCCTAATGCCCACCATGCACCCACAGAGGGATCTTTGTAGAGCACGGGGAGCTGCTGCAGAGGGGACAAGATGGCCCTAAGTATCCCCTGCGGCCCCTTCTCCGGAGCTAGGAAGGTTAAACACGGGGCCGCCTCCCGGATTTCTGTCTCTCCGGGGTGTGGAAGACAGAGAGCCCATGCATCAAACCCTCTCCCCAAGCCTTGCAGCTTTTCCCAGCACTCAGGGGGGCTATGAAATCGCCGTGAGCCAGGGCACGACAGAAACATAAAACACTTTAATAACCTGCTTGTGGCATTTCGCTGCTAAGAGCAATTTAAAAACCAACGGTCGTGCACGAGGGGAAATAACAGGAAAGCTCCATTCTAGTGCTCTGGCCCAGTGGCCTTTCTCTACACTCTCCTACTATAGGAACAAAGTGCCTGGCAAGACAAGCTTCACTTCGCTGTGTGTTGGGGACCGACTGCTTTTCCCAGCGAGAGCACGTAGCATCCTGCACTGGCAGGGAAATGATGCAGGTGCAGTTATGGCGCGTCCCCTCCCCAAGACACGACGCTGCTTGCTTTTGCCAAAGGTAGGCACCTGAATGCTCAAGAAGTCACTTCCGGGATTGACTTTGTCTGGAGACAGAAGCCGAAGACCAGGAATAGCGTGTGCGAAAGGAGGAGAGAAAAGAGCTCCCTTCGGCTCGACAGCACGTGGTCTGAGCTGTTTCAAAAGGGTGAATACACAGACATCTGCTGTGCGAAGGGCCATGTGGGAGTCCATCGCTGGCAATATTTTTAATTGTTTTTTCCCCCCTGCCTCTGTTTTCCTTGTAATAAGCCAACGAGCCCAGTGCTACTGGCTTATTTATTTGTCATCGGCACCGCTGCAGAGTACAAGAGATCCTTCAGTGCAGATTAAAACAAATGTGCCAAAGAGAAATTCGCTCCATTTCTCCAGAGACCAAAAAGGAAGGTGCTGGATTCCCTGCAGAGGGAAAATGGCAGAAAGTTATTTTCCCCTGTGACTCTTCCGCTACTGAACAATAGACAGCAAGGGGGGGGGAAGGGAAGTGTCATCCAGAAGCGCATGGAAAGCAGCTATTTCTGCAGCGCGGGGCCGTTGGTAACTTAGAAAGGGAGAGTGTTCAGTAATCACCGTAGGGAACAGAACTGTACAGAGCTTGCTGTTTCCTTGGCAGCCTGGATCTGTAAGAGGATCAATTCATTCCTAAGCCCAGTTGCACCCCGAGCTCCCAGTGAAATCAATGAATGTGTAACTCAGGGCAGCATTTGTTCCTACTCTATTCTGAAGTAGTACAATATCCTGGATCTGTCATGTTGTTATGACTACTTAGAAATTATTAGCAATTAGCACAATCAGGAAATGCTTAATAGCATGCACTCTTAGCACTTAAGCTTTTTGCAAAATGAGCTAAGCCCCAAGCTCTCTAAAAGGTAGGTGGTGTTATCCCATTATATAGGTGGTGAAACTGCAAACTCCATAGCCAGACCCCATGCTTGCAAACTCCATAGCCACAATTCTCCATCAATACAGCTCCTACCCGTGTAGCAACAGCGTACGTATGGCTCTGAGCAGGATTAGACAACAGGGTGATACAAATGCACAAGCACAACTGGAGCCCTGTCCACCCTGCAGCCTCCTCTATTGCTCTCAATGGAAGAGCAGTCCTGGAGGTGAAAAATTGTCTTTGCCAGCAAACAGTGTAGCTACGTCAGAGAGGTTAAGTGACTTGGCCAAGGTCACACAGCACATCACTGGCAGAGGCAGGAGCACAAGCCAGGAATCCTGACTCCCCATTCTGTACTCTAACCATTAGACAGAACTCTCTGAGACCACTGAAAGTAGCCTGACTTTTTCCAGCTTTCACAACAGTTCAAATTCAGGTTTGGGTTTGGGTCTTGGGTGAAGTTTCTGGTTTCATCCAACCCAGAGGCGCTGGGTCATTTGTGTTCAGCAGAAAAAGGATGGCAAAGCACTCACGCTTAGCTGTGAAGGTGTTTCACATCCCAGTAGCACCATGGGGCCATGTGCTCATTACCAGACATCTACCACTCACAAAACTCCTTTGAGCAGAGGGCCTGGTTTTCTACCACAAAAGGAATTACCCACAGTGGACTCAACAGGAGTTAAAAAACAAACAAACACCATGAAGAACAGAGTGAGGTGTGTGGGAGATATTATTACTCTGCTCATTCACACAGGCTGTGTCGCTTTCCTCTCTTCCATTGGGAGGGCTAGAAGGACTCACCCATACTTGCAATTATGCTGTGAACAGGCAGCCTGGATGGGCCGTCATAGATCCCTCTCCCTGCAAAACCTTTCTTCTTTTGCTTCTCCTCCTGCTTGAATATGAAGGCAGAGTTCTCCTCCTTGGTGATGTTAATGTAGAAGCAGGTGTCAGACGCCGTCATGATGTGCCGCGGCCCAGGGTTCAGCAGGATGCTCTTGTTCTCTTCCCTCCTGATGCCGATCAAGCAGACGCCATACCTAAGGCAGAAGTACAATGTGGACATTCAAGGCCACTCCCTAGAAAAGACGCTTGGTTTCTTTTGCAAAGCTACTGCACGGGCCTCAGCGAACGTGTCACACCAGCGTCACTGACCCAGCGCATGGAAAACGGAAGCAAATGCAAACTCTCCTCTCACTTTGTATCTTTCCAAACCAATATTGGAGGTAATTGGATTAATCCAGTCCCCACTGCCCCGCTATTTACCAAGAGAGTTAAACGACCGCGACATGTAAGACCGGTACCAAAAGCTGCAAGGGATCCCCATGCCAGGGCTTCGAGGTACCGAACCAGGCTGGCTCTCACTTTTTGTGTGCGTGGAAGGCAGCATAGGTGAAGCTTTTCCCTTCGTATTCCATGAAGAACTTGCTGTCCCCCATGCGGATGTGGTACACTTCGTTGCCTGAGCAGCGTCCGTACATCCTTTGCCACTGCTCCGGGGACTCCTGGCCTTCTCTGTAACCAGAGGAACAGAACCCTGCCTGGTAAGGGCTTGTGCTCAGCTCCACCACCACAGTGCGATCTCACTAGGGATTCCCCCCATCACTGTGGTATCTGGGCACCTTGCTGGAAGGCTAGCATGCTTTCTGAGCCCATAGCAAGTGGGGGAGCTTGTTTAGGTTAAAGCTATTCTTGTGGGAATTATGGGGCCAGTCCAGGTGGGCCCTTCCAAGGATGTGTCATCGGGGAAGCTGGTGGCCAGGAAGAGAATTGCAGGGGGGAACTGATGAGCCTGCACCTTCAAAATCCATGCCTAAAGTGTCACGCTCGGCAGGCCCTCTGCAGCGAGAGGTGGTGCTGTATTTGCCACCCCGGACTAAAGTGAAGGGCATTTGAACACCTCTGCCCCCTGACCCAACTGCTCCATGTGTCATGCAGATTACCGATAACAGCCTCCTGGAATGACTGAAGAAGACCCAAAGTTTGCTCCGCTGTCATCCTGTCTCACAAGTGCCTGAGCAGAAGGGCCTTGGAGTACAGAAATACCCCGGTCAGGCCACAGGGCCCACGCTCTGGGCTAAGCGATGGGGTCGGAAAGGGTGAGGGGAGGCAGCAGTGGCAGGACTCCTCTCCGTGTTGTAACAAATCTCCATGGTTCAGCACTGGAGATCACCCCACCCCTCCCGATCCCAACAGAATGAAGGGACTCCAGCCTCCCTACAGCTACACCCTCCGGGCCAGATCCTCCTCAAAGGACAATTCTTGCCAGCTGAGAAGGATCTGCTCTATACGGTGTTATTACAAGGGACACTGAATGACAGGAGCTCTTAAAGATGAGGCTGCATTTTAAGCCACCAGCACTAAGATCATGGCTGTGTGTATCAATAACCTGCTGCGCTTTCCAGGCTCGTTTTAATTTCGGATTTTAACTGCCTTCCTATTTCATGGGAAAGAAGAAGGCTGAGAGGGGATCTGATTGCTCTGTATAAATACATTAGGGGCATAAATACCAGGCCGGGTGAAGAGCTAGTGAAGCTAAAGGACAATGTTGACACCAGAGTAAATGGATATAAACTGGCCAGGAACAAATTCAGGCTGGAAATTAGCAGAAGGTTTCTAACCATCAGAGGGGGGAGATTCTGGAACAGCCGCCCTCTAGGAGTTGTGGGGGGCAAACAACATCATTAGTTTTAAAACGTTTTAGTGCAATCGTATGAGGGGGTTGCTTGTAACGGCGCGAGCAGGGCTCAACCGTCCTGGGGCTCCCTTCCGGGTTATGACGTATGCCCCACACTACAAGAAGGATGTGGAAAAATTGGAAAGAGTCCAGCGGAGGGCAACAGAAATGATTAGGGGGCAGGGGCACATGACTTATGAGGAGAGGCTGAGGGAACTGGGATTGTTTAGTCTGCAGAAGAGAAGAGTGAGGGGGGATTTGGTAGCTGCTTTCAACTACCTGAAGGGGGGTTCCAAAGAGGATGGATCTAGACTGTTCTCAGTGGTGGCAGATGACAGAACAAGGAGCAATGATATCAAGTTGCAGTGGGGGAGGTCTAGGTTGGATATTAGGAAACACTATTTCACTAGGAGGGTGGTGAAGCACTGGAATGGGTTACCTAGGGAGGTGGTGGAATCTCCATCCTTAGAGGTTTTTAAGGCCTGGCTTGACAAAGCCCTGGCTGGGATGATTTAGTTGGGGTTGGTCCTGCTTTGAGCAGGGGGCTGGACTAGATGACCTCCTGAGGTCCCTTCCAACCCTGATATTCTATGATTCTATGATTCTGCTGCGGAGCTTCAGCCGACCACTGGCCGGGGTCAGGAAGGGATTTTCTTCCCCACTGTATTCTGGGAGGGTATTTTAATCTCCTTCCTCTGAAACATCACGCCTGGAAGTGGAACACTGGACCGGGGTGGCGGTGTGGAACAAGGCTCTGAAGTGGCTCTGAGCATTCTCTCTCTCTCAGGGGCTTGGCCAGCTGGTTCTTGCTCACACGCTCAGGGTCTAACTGATCACCACATGTGGGGTCGGGAAGGAATTTCCCCCCAGGTTAGACTGGCAGGGACCTTGGGGGTTTTTTCACCTTCCTCTGCAGCATGAGGATTATCTGGGTATATCTCATTTTATCATTTCCCTGCCATTGCAGGGGCCTTGGGCACTGGTGCATCTCGGTTCCTCCTATTCTCTGCCTCTGGCACATAATAGTCTACTCTCCTGTGGGTCTCATTTACTTTGGTCTCATTTCAGTTGCCGGATTTAGTGGGCGAGTTCTGAGTGGTGTTTGGGGCCTGCAACAAACGGTGCCAGTCCTTAAGTCATCCCCCCTGCACGGCGCAGAGTCTGTGAGTGGCCATTTGCTGAGACACGATTGCCACACCCATGACTTCCTGCCAGCCATCTGGGTCTCTCTGTTCCACCATTCATTACCTAATGTTCCCCTCTCAAGCTGGATCCAAATAAAATGTGTGCAGATTTCAGCTCCAGCTATGTGACTTCTGTACTCATAAGGCAAGTGACACTGTCCCAGTTCAATGAGTCACAGAGGACATTCAAAAGTATTATTCTTTCTTGTAAGATTTATGCTTTTTAACTAGAGATGGGACAGGACCAAGGCCCAGGACACAAGGCGCCAGAGGGAAGGTGATCAGATACACGGCCAGAGCTATAATTATTATTGATCATTGGTAGTCTGATAGCATCTAGAGATCCCAACCAAGATCAGGTAGACGCTGTACAAACATATCATAAGAGATAGTCCCTGCCCCAAAGAACATACAATCTAACTAGAAAAGGGTGGGAGAAAGGATGCATTACTGTCCCCATTTGACAGATGGGGAACTAAGGCACAAGGAGGCTAAGTGACAGGCCCATGGTCACACGGGTTGGCTGTGGCAGAGCCTTGAATAGACCCCAGAGCTCCTGAGTCTCTGTCCCTTTAACACAAGAGCATCCTTTCCCTCAAGGCAGATTTAAGTTAATATAGATCCAGATCTAAACTTTGTAGTTCAGGCCCAATCTCTATTTTTAACCCAATGCAAATGTTAAGAAGACAACCCAGAGTGAAGAATGTGCAAAAAACATTCCAGCAAACAGAAGACAGTTCATGAGTAAAACACCAGCACTCACTGGCCCCTGGATGTGTGAACCAGCAGGGTGATGAGCGTGGAGGTTGCTGGGCAGACGCAGTTCAAAGCCAGCATGGCGTATTTGCATTCTTCTTCGCAGACCACATGATCTGAAATGAAAAAGACAATTACTACCCTCTGAGCATCACTTTCATTTTTCTGATTTACACACCTCCTACAACTGGTAATGTCCCATGGCTGATCTTCTAGCTAGCCAGTTGCTACGCATGGGAGGCTGGGGAGAGGGGGTGCACAGCACGCACAGCAATTTGAGGATGCTGGAGATCGTTTGTTTTATGTTCCAGCCTCTATGAAGTCAGGGCAGATTGATTAAGCACAGAAGGGGCTGCAGGGAAACACTCAAACATCTTGTTTCCAGTACGTACCATAGACGGTTTCAACTAATCAAAAACCCACCCTGGATGACACATGTGGAGCAATGAAAATTAGAATAAGTGCAGGGAGGAAAAACAGATTCACAGAATGGAAACCTGCCAAGTAAACAGAACCCAATCCAGACCCCCCTCCTCCACCCCCGAAGGCAGAGTCAGGGGAGAGGGATGAATTTCAAACCCCAGGGCCTGGTCCAGATTCATTCTATGAAGGACGAGGTATCACACCGACAGCCTAATGACCAGTACTCAATCTCAAGTGTCTCTTTCCAGAAAAAAATTGATCATTGTCCAAAAAAATAATAATAATAATCTGGTAACATATTTGAATTTAGGCCCAATCCTGCCACTGGTCCCACATGGTAATTTGAGGGCAGAGAGATGGCAGAATTCACGATCCAAGTTATGCAAGTTTATCATGGGGATAAACAAACGCTCAGAAGATAAGAAAAGCTCTCTCACTTCATTGTAATTTCCCTGATCACAGATTCTAAACTGTTCTGTACTTTACAACACTGTCGAACCCACAATCCCATTTTGGGAGACTCCCCAGGAAACACTTAAAAGACAAGGACCATACCTAAAAATACAAACACTACATTTTTAAAAGGTTTTCAGAAACTTTTGGCAAGGTTTAAAAGTTTGGTTGTATTTTGAGTTGGTAGATAAGCCTCTGCTCTACCTCATAATGGCCCAGGGGGACTATTCTGCCAGTGACCTAAGTCCGTGACTCACATTAGCATTACTAGCTGTTAGGAATATAAGAACTGTCATAGTGGGTCAGACCAAAGGTCTATCTAGCATGATATCCTGTCTCCAACAATGGCTCCAACCGGAGCTTCAGGAGGTGTGTACAGAACAGGGCAGTTGGAGTGATCCACCCGTCTTCTTCTCCCAGCTTCTGGCAGTCAAGGGGTTTAAGGTCACCCCAAGCATGGGGTTGCATCCCTGGCCATCTTGGCTAATAGCCATTGATGGACCTATCCTCTACGACCATCTCTAGTTATTTTTTTTTAACCCAGTTATATTTTTGGCCATCGCCCCATCCCATGGCAATGAGTTCCACCGGTTAATTGTGCGTTTGTGTGAAAAAGTACTTCCTCTTGTTTTTTATTAAACTCACTGCCTATTTATTTCATCTGGTTTTTCTTTTGTGGGAATGGGTAAATTACACTTCTTTATTCACTTTTCCCACACTATTCATGATTTTATAGACCTCTAGCATATGCCCCCTTAAGCGTCTCCTTTCTAATCTGAACAGTTTAATCATTTCCGTCTCTTTTTGTACAGAAGTCGTTCCATCCCCTTGATCATCTTGTTGCCCTTTACTGAACTTCTTCCAGTTCCACTATGTCCTTTTCGAGATGGAACAACTCGAACTGGACCCAGCAATCAAGGTGAGGGCACACCATGAATTTATATAGCTGCATTATGATATTCTCCGTCTTATTTTCTATCCCTTTCCTAATAGCTCCTAACTTTCTGTTTGCCTTATCAGTGTTGAATTTCATCTGTCATTTTGCTGCCCAGTCACCCAGTTTTGTGAGATCCCTCTCTTCAGTCAGCTTCGGACTTAATTACCATGAATAATTTTATAACATCTGCAAACTTTGCCTCTTCACCCCATTTTCCAGCTCATTAATGAATATGTTGAATAGGACTGGTCCCAGTACAGAGCCTTGGGGGACCCCTTGTTCACCTCTCTGCATTAGAACACCCGACCATTTATTCCTAACCCTTTGTTTCCTATCTTTTAACCAGTTACTGATCCACCAGAGGACTTTCCCTCTTCTCCCACGACTAATTAGTTTCCTTAAGAGCCTTTGGTGAGGGACCTTGTCTCAGGCCTTCTAAAAATCCAAGTACATTTTATCGATTGGATCACCCTTATCTTCATGCTTGTTGATACCTTGAAAAGAATTTAATAAAACGGTGAGGCGTGATTTCTCTTTATAAAAGCCGTATTGCTCCTTCCAACAAATTGTGTTTATCGATGTGTCTGTGAGTTCTGTCCCTTAATATAGTTTCTACCAATTTGCCCAGTCCCGAAGTTAGGCTTGTCAGATCGCCTCCGGAGCTCTTTTTTTAATTAAATTTAATTCCTGTGCTGTGACAGGCAGAGGATGGATATCTGCTAGAAGGACCAAGAAACTAGAGGAGATCACGCCACCAGGGCAGTGGCAACTCCGGCAGCGAGAGGTTCAGACTGGTGGCTGGAAGAAACGCGGGAACCCATTGGTGGCGAGTAGCAGCGAATATTCGGGAACATCTGTAGATTGGTGGCTGTGTTCAGCAACAAGTCTCCCCTCAGGGCTCCTGGCGTGAGTAAGGCAGGTGGATCTGGCCCACATCTGCTCACACCAAACTCACCAGCAAACTTGACATGAAACTTGTTTTCAGGCTTTAGAATCTGAACGTAGAGGGGGCAGTTGGGAGCAAAATCCTTCACAGCCCAGGCTCTCAGGATGGTCTGATGGTCCTGATGAAAGAGAAAGGCAAGAGCAACGCTATAAGCATCCCTCCGGCAGCTCAGTAGGTTCCAGCACTTCCATGTTTTAGGCTTAATTCACAAGCAATAGTGCCTTGTGATCACAGAGAGACAAGCACAGGCAGGCTCACTGCAAACACCCAACCCTCCCAGGCTGCCCCTCCAGAACAAATGTGGAGTCTGGAAGCGAAACAGGAAAAATAAACTGAGTTCAGTCTAGGATTTGCAGATTTCCTGTGGGGTCCTTTGAATAGCCCAGCCTTAACCTCCTGGCATCCCAGACCGGTAACTGATTTGCTATATACACAGAATCAGATAAAGGCCATACACACAGGTACATGTTGGAATCTGGGTCATCCCAATACCAGCACAGAGGGTTACATACCTGCCCACCTGCCCCAGGGATCTGATGAGAAGATATGCCTGAAATCTTGGTAAATTATAATTCAATATGAACTATCCCCGCTACTTGAGGAGTGCCACCCTACGCTGAACTTGTTCTGTGGCCACTATTCAAAGGCGGGTTCCTCCCTGGCTAAAGAAAACAGACCTACAAGGGGTCCTAAGGAGACCCTGACTTTCACTCTGCAGGTCACTTCCTCCCACCTCAACCCGGTGTGTCCTTCCCCAGGCACCCCTGTTCATTCTCCAACCAGAGGGCAGCAGGCAGACCAGGCCTCTCGTTTAGCTGGTTCCAGTGATGTATTCAAACCGTATCGTCATTTCCCTCCAGAGTTTTTTAGAAGATGCACTTAAATTCAAGTGACGGAACCCCAGCCCTCTTGATCTTAACACACAAGCTTCTACTGCCATCTCTGTTAGCAGCCGGCTTGTCAATCTCTGTGTTACCAATTTGTTATTGCAAGGGTTTTAGTCACGCTATTCCCTGAACCATGAGGAGTGGTCACCCTTCGCCTGTTCTCTATAATGTTACTCAAGGTACATTTACACCGCAATAACCGACCCTCCTCCCCTCCCCCCCACCCCCCGCCACAGCACTGGGTCTCGGAGCCTGGATCAGCTGACTCGGGCATGTGGAGCTGAGGCTGCAGGGCAAAAAATAGCAGTGTAGATGTTTGGGCTTGGGCTGGAAGCCTGCAAGGGCCTGGGTCTCCGAGCTCAGGCCCAAAGGTCTGCACTGCAATTTTCAGCCCGAGCCTGAGTCAGCTGATCTGGGCCAGCCGCAGCCGTGCCGTGGGGCCTTTATTGCAATGGAGACGAACCCTGACTCTGAAATCTCCCAGCTCCCTGTTGCAAAGGTGCTATGCGGGCCTAGGCACAGGGTGGCCAGGGCACTGCAAGGACCTTGGCACAATGATGTTGATGAGAGATTAAATTTCAGCCCTCAGAGGCTCTCTCAATGGGGAACTCTAATGCAGAGACTCTGGATCCATTGAGAGCAACCTCTCGTTTCTGAACGATTTCCATTGATGTTTCTGGTGATTCACACCGGGCCAAACGGTGAAGTCTTTACTGTCTCCTTACTCAGGAGTTAGCCTACTAGGAGGATGCCTTGGGGACCTGGCCCCTGGCAGGTTTTTTCAAGCCCACGTGTTCTCTCTCATGACCCTCTTCCCCTTCCCTGAGGCCGTGGCAAAGTCACAGTCCTGACCGGATGGCATCCCACACACTTGCATGGCAACCATGACTGCAAACCGGTCTGTGACCTCACTGCAAATCCCAGCGAACGCATCTCTCCTGCCCCACGGGAACATAAAGCCAGCAGGGAGTTCACTGCTCGCCAGGGACGTTCTGCTCTTCCCACCAGGGGCTACAGCCCTGTCAGGCCAATAGTGGGAGCAAAGGTTCAGTCCAGAATAAAACGAGACAGAGGAGAAACGTGTCCTGGAACCACACAGAGCAGTCTGTCATTGAAAAGCCAGCGAGGCTGCAGCTAGTCACACGCTGTCTCCCCCGGCCTGTCTGGAGAAACTGGCAGCACTGCGGCTTTGTTCCAGTTTTATGCACCAGCCGATGAGACAACCTGACACACACAGACTATCACGAAAGCAGCAAGACCAGCAAATAGGAACATGGGAATCCTTTCAGCAGTACGGACACAGCCCCTCGGCACATGCATGAACATGGAAAAACACCCTGGGTGTAGAATGCCACTGTATTTTAATGCAGTGGTTCTCGTCCTTTGCCATACTAGGACCCCTTTGCATACCAGCGCACCCGCCTCCCCCAAGGACTATCCCTTCCATCCAGCCAGGCCCTCTCGCTTATTTAGCACTAGGGGGAGAGCTGAGTGAGTTGTGACCTCCTGATAGCTGTTCATGACCCACCCCTGGGTTGAGAACCTCTGTTTTAATGCACCCCAGTTTGGCGTGTGGGTCTGACTCATTCTGGTGGCAGGCATTCGGGTACGGAGTCAGCCCCTGTGGTCAGCCCCTCTGGTCGCACAACCAAATTGGCCCCCAACCTCTCCTACTACTCTTCCCAACGTCAGTGTCTTGTGTTGGTGTATCATGATTTCTTTGCCACCTGACCCTTCTTGTGGATAATCCCATGAGCTGTGATCTAACTTTCCACCTGGTCTCCTTCCCACAGCTTTATCTGGGCACGGTAAGAACATGCATTTCAGGATCACCGTCAGATACCTCGCTTCCTAATTCCGATTTCTTTAGGCCTCTCTTCTTGGGTATTTTTTTCGCTGCATGCAGGGTGAGGACGTTTCTAGCTCACACAGTTCAAGGTGATCCCCAAAGCCCCAGCTCTGCCAATCCCAGCGTATGCACCATGAACACAAATGACAAAAGCATCATGAGGCAGCAAAATGTCACCACGGCATGCCTGGCTGGGGAGTGGTAGACAGCCTGTTGATGAATGCACCTGATGTTTTCGACACTTAGGAGAGAAACATTGGACTGACCATAGTGGCTCAGGACTTCCTCCAGTCCAGTAGCTCTGTCTTCAAGAGCAGGTGCTTCAGAGGAAAGAACAGGAATCCCTGCCCTAGGAAGGGACGGGATGACTTGCCCCAGGCAATGTAAATTAGTATTAGCATTATAAGTTTGTTAGCACCCATAACCAGAGGTCCATAGAGCGAAACCAGACTCTGCTAACTGCCACCTCCTTTCGGGGGAGGGCCTTTGGCCTGGGTTATGCAGGAGGTCAGACTAGTTTATAATGGTCCCTTCTGGCTTTAACAGCTATGATGCGCCAATAAACCCAGCCCTGTCTTACCGCGGCTGTGCGGTCCGCCTCGTTTCGACTGCTGAGAATGAAACAGGCCTCTCCGTTATCCATCCTGAAAACACAAAGGGTTCTGTGATCACACACAGCCAGCGAGCTTCTTCATCTCACAGGCACTCAGCTAGAGAGTCCGCTGGCCTGGTTTCTGGGTGGTCAGAAAAGACGGCACACCTGGGCACTGATAATGTTTGCCGGGAATCGGGTAACCAGCCCTCCTGCCCATCCCTGTCACATTACAAGAGGAGCAGAGGTAACCTGCGAGAAGGCCATTTCATGCTGCTGTTAGTAAATTAAATACAGCAAACTGGGAAGAGCAGGGATGTTATAAAGGGCCTGATCCCAGTTGTACCAGTCAAACTGTGCGCATACTGTTCCCTTGGGGACAGGGACTTGATCATTTCTGTGAGCATCCTGTGGTTATGGGCTGGACACCGCAGGGGAAAACCTCAAGGGGACGCTGGGCTTGGTGTGTGTCTGTCAGTAGCCAGCACAGAGACAACACGGTCGGCAGCTTGCATAGCTAGAGGCTTTTGGTTTCAGGGAGCTGAGCTACAGGGGGCACAAATGAGGCTGTTTCACGTGAAGGGCAGGTAGCGGCGAGGTGCCTCACAACCCTGAGTATCTCTGGGGAGCGTCACGCCACCACCCCCTGAGGAAGCCGACAGGACTGCGAGCAGATGGCTGCTCTCTGCACAGGCGGGTGTGAATGCCACAGAAAGCCATCCGGTATTTCTCCACGGTTTTATTTCAGCTGTGGGAGGACCTGGCAAGGCTCAGGTAATTAAACAAGGGAGCTTCTGGCTCTGGCAGGCGACAGACATGAAACACTTGGTGAACAGTGGAAAGCGGCTCTAATTGCCATAGGTCGTATCTCTGCATCTGTCTTGTCTAGTTAGACGGCAAAGTTAACTTGGGTGATCAGCACACGGGTCGGAGCACCCACGTCGGGCTAGCCCGCGTGCGAGCAGCCACGTTGCAGAGCCAGACTCGAGTGTGCCCATTGACTGCGTCCACACTGCCACCGCACGCCCTCGTGTGAGGCACTAGGACTTTGGGGGCATATCCCAAAACTCTTAGCTCTGCAGAAAACTCAGCCGCTCTATGCTTCTTTCCCAGTGAATTGTGGGAGAACTTGTCTGACAAATGGGTGGGGGGGAATGTGAGACGGCACTGGAGGACTATCAGCGCTCAAGTGATTTAGCCTGCATTTGATTGCAAAGAGGGGAGGCTACCATGGGGTTAGCCTATCCCCCACAACAGGCCCGCTAGCCTGAATGGAAAGCACCAACATGCTCAGGGGAGAGAGTTTTGTATGAAGACAGGAGACAGATAAGGGGCTACACCCAAGTAAAAGCTGGAGTTAACCCTGCAGTGAACACATGCCCTAGGTTTGTATAGTGCCTAGCACAAATAGTGCCGGGCCTCGGCCAGCCCCTAGGCACTGTTGTAATAAACACGATTCATAATAAACGTGCACCAGGCAGGGAAGCGGGGATGGGTCATTGCTTCTTAACGTGCTGCTTTGGAAAGCTACTCTGCACCGGCATCCTGCCCAGACTTGTCTGACACAGGTGGTTCCTTGAGTCACCAGAGATGAGAGAGTCCATTGTCTGGGGAGAGCCACACAGAGCAGCACTGGGCAAAGAGGCCAGTGATCAGCACACAGCACACACAGCACACAGCCTGCCGAATATATGTACAAACCTGCACAATTATACATGCTAGAACTTGCTTGCATGAACTGCCCTAGGAGCCTCTGGAAATGCATCTCCCAGGGCTGGTCCGAACTGAGGATTTCTGCACGCGAGTAACTTTATCAAAGTGCTGCACCAGAGCAAACCCCCAACAGACGTGTCGTGCAGGTGTAAAAAATGGCTTACTCTGGTTTCAGGTGCGTCTACAGTAGCGGCTTGCCCCGGTGCAGCACCTCTGGAGCAAAACCTCTCAGTGAGGACAAACCTCCAGTCTCCCTTTGTGGCACTGCATGGACTGGGGGGGGAGGGGGGATGAACCCACACTTAAAAGACACACAGGTGCCCCTCCGCACACATTTTACCCTGGAAGAGTCCTGGCTGTGATAGTTTCTTGTAAGTGCTCTCGCTCTGGAAATGAGCGATCCACGGGAAATGCACAATATTAAATAGCGAAGAGCCTCTTCCCTTCTGGCTGCCTTCCACTGTCCCCGCTCCCAGTACGGTCCTCAATGGTGCTTTCCGCTGCCTTTGCAGAGCGATGTCTTTATAAGGAGATATAGTGTGACCGCTTGTGGTGCCCTCTCTTTTTCTCCCGTTACCTTGATTTAAACATGATTTCTCTCTCTCTGAATTAATTAAAATGTCATTTTCCCAAAGACGTCCCAGCAGACACAGTGAACAATGTCCCTACAAAGCGAGTTTACGCCATCGGTATTTATAAGGCAATCGAGAGAGACACACAAACAGCCAGGAAAATTAAAGACCAGTTTCAGTGTTTCAAGGGATGTGTAAACTGTCCTCAGAGCAGTAAGTACACGCTGAGAATTAAAGAGACGGGGGAAAGGGAAAGGAATAGAAAAGCAAAGTAGGAAAAAGGGCTCTGGGGTGGAGGGAAGAAGAGAAGAGGGGTTTGGAAAGTGTGACAGTGGAATGTGCAATGTTAGAGGGGAGGGGGAAGACAAAGCCTTGTCTACACTGGCATTTTAGACCTTGGGGTAGCTGTGCCGATTTGAAAGTGGGTTGAGCTGCGAATCGTGTTGCGCTGGTGTGAACCTGGGCTGGACTCTCCAGTTTGCTAAGGCCACTTTGGGCTGCAGCTGGAGATGGCCAAATGAAGAAATCCTCCTGTGCACAGGAGCTCTGCTGGAGGAAATCTGGCAGAGGACTCAATGTGCCCCTGGTCCCACCCCTGAGTAAGGGAAGGAGGGGACCCATCGGGGTGCTCTAGGGGTGGGCCATAGGAGGGACATGCAGGAGCAGGGGAGCTGGAGCGAAGCTCTACCACATTACTCCACTGGCATCAAGTCCCCCTGCCCCACGCAGCCCTTACTTGTGCAGGGGCCATGTTTCGCTCTAGCTAGCAAAGGTTTCCTAATAGTTGGACCAGGGAGTCGGACTTGCACCTCCTCAGCTCCACCTCTGCCCTTACTGCTAACTCAAGTGTGCCCCGGGGCAGGTCACCTGAAAAATAAGCACAGAATTAAGCTACCTCTCAGGGGCGCTGCGAGTCACAATTCATATTTGCAAAGTGCTTTGAGATCCTCAGATCTAGAAGGGCCACTATTATTACCAGTTACTTTACTGGATACAGTTAGAGTTACACAGTTAGTAAAAGCAGGTTCTTTGGGGAGGGTTATTTCTCCAGCTCTTGGGGAGAAGGAGGCATTGGGCATCCAGGCTCTTGCATTTCGCAGGAGATGATAAACCTGGGTTTCTGTGCCTCCTGCTGTCAATTTCTATTACTGGCTGCTGAATCCAGAAATAAGAAAAAATTTCAATCCATTATTCTAGGCACCTTAACAATCAGCTAAGTGCAGAGTTTCTTAAGAGAGTTCTACTGGGGTAGGATTGGATTCAAAAGGAACTAGTAATTGGCAGCCTTTAAAGAATTTTAAAGCCCCATTATTACATTTCCAGTCCACCCCTCAAGGCTCGTTATCCACAAAATGAAGGACACCTAGCTAGAGTTCAATGATCTGATGTCTATTTTTGAGAATTTTACAGTGATGGCAGAGAAAACTGATATCTGTGGTGCATGAATCTTTCATGAATGTTTAAACTGGGGTCAGACCAACACGCCAGCCTGTGAGAGCACCGTGACAGTGAGTTTGAAATGTGGGCATTACTGTTTGCATCAGTTACTGTGATATCTTGAGCTGTCAGCACTGAAATGGATGTCCTTAATAAGGGCTTGTCTACACTTGAAATGCTACAGCTGTGCCACAGTAATGCTCAGTGTAGACATACCTACGCCAACGGGGTGGGGGTGGAGGGGTTGTCCGGTCAGCATAACTAATCCACTCCCCGAGAGATGGTAGCTAGGACGAATTCTTCCGGCAATCTAGCACTGTATCCACTGGGGGTTAAGTCAGCTTAACTACACCACTCAGTGGGGTAGATATTTCACACCCCTGAGCGATGTAGTTAAACCAACTTCATCTTCTAGTGTAAACCAGGCCTTAGTAAGCTGCTTTTCTTCATGGCATCTTTTCACCTTTGTGTCTGGCTGATGGGAACTGTCCAAATTTTTAGTCAATAGCATACAAAATAGCATTCATTTTAACCAGCGATGGATTGTAGCCACTGCTTGGAGCTTAGCACTGTAATGTCCAGCATTCCTCTTCTAAAAAACGATATGGCTTAGATTAGCTATTGGAGCCACCCGCCAGTGAGAGAAGTTTCCCTGCTGGAGTGTTTTGACTCTCCCATGCTTCTCTAGGAAGCTGTATAGCAGTGTAATCAATGCTACAGCACAGACATGCACAGTTCTTGCGCTGAATAACAGAGAACACATATGCTGGTAGCCATAGCAGGAGTCTTGGAGGGCTATTCCCCTCCCCCACCTCTGTGGGTCTTGCTAGGATGGGCTCTATACTCACTTTGCTCTCATGAGATCCTGATCTTTCAGTGCAGATCCCTGAAGATATATCACTCGCTGAGACCACAGAGGAATCTGAAGGACCCGCCGAACTTGTATATCCATCTCTGTTGGGCAAAGTATCACTACGTAGTAATCCTGAAAGAAAAACGCCAGTGTTTGCTTGGCAGCCTGACAGCGCAAGCATGGTAAGATCGTTTCACTCGCTGATTGAGCGTGCAATTCTATGCAGGTTTTGGCATTACACTATTAATGGTGTGATATCACTTTGCACCAGCGCTGGGATGTCACAAGCGTTGAGGCACACACAGCGTTTTCCCCCAATCACGTTTGCACAATGGCTCTAATGTAGGCACATCTGACAACTGAATTATTAAAGGCCTGAAGATTTGGCCCAGAAAAGTGGGGCTCTGTGTATTTAGAGAAATTAACAAGACTTCAAAAATGAAATCTATATGGAGCCAAGGCTGACAATGACGACAGTGAAATCTTGATTGGTTCTTGAATTAAATGCAAATACAGGGTGCATGTGAGCCACTCTTAATAGTAGTGGGGTGAAAGTTACACCCATTCACTGATAAACGGCGCTGATTAGACTTGATTATTCCATTCGGAGCTGGGTAGATCATCTGGGGTTCAACAAGCAAACACTTTATTTATATAGTATAAGGCATTCAATTTGGTAAACACCTTCTAACATAAAAAAATAACACATATATAGAGGCATTTTCAATGTGCTTGGATACTACAGCAACAAGCGCTGCAGAAAAACCTGAACTAGCCCCGATAGCGTGTGTCCATTGTTGTGGCATAGAGGGAGGTATGTACTGCAGGGTAGTGAATCTACCAGGACTACAACAATATATATTTCTTCTGTGCAGTTTCTATATACTGATCCATGGATTCTATACAGTGAATTGAAACCAATTACCAGACTATACTGAAGACTAATCTGGTTGAACTGATATTTTTTACCTCGTATGTATTCCTGTCACATATCCTTTGCTTCCCTCTTCCATGTGCTCAGTGCTGGGAGGTGCACTCATTACCCACAGCAAGGTCTAGCAGCGCGGAGAGCTCAGTAAGGACACTTGTTCAACTGCTAACACCGCTAGCCCTGAAATAAGACACCTCTGCCTTTACCTGCAGCCGGGGATGGGCGTAGAACTCATTCAGAAAGTCCATCAGGAGGTCAATCTTGAGGGAACTGACACAAAGGACAACGTGTTTCTCCGTCTGTGCTCGGTGGCGGCTGTAATTCCCTCCTGATTTCTGACGTTCCATCCAGAGGTACACAAGCTCCTCGAACTGCAAACAAAGGCAGACAGCTCACGGGGTGAGACAGACTGTGGGGTGGGCCAAATGGGTTCAAGGATTCAGAACACTTTCACGGCTACAAACTGCACATCCATAGTTATAATGTCCCCTGGTTAGCCACATACACCTGTGCAAGGTTAAGAGAGCTCTGGATAAAGTACAGTTGTGTTTATACATGTACAATGTTGTGTGTAATATACAGGAATGTAATCTGTGTTTAATGCTATGGTGAAGGGCATCATGCAAATGCCTGTAAGAGCGAGAGAATGGAGAAGACACAGAAAGGATAGACAGACTAGGCACACATGTGTTAACCTGTGTACCCTCTTGAAAATGGGTTGCTTCATTTCAAGAAACATTAAATGACAAACATCCCGAGATTTTCTGTAGTGTACATGCCCTGTACAGTACTAGGCATGCCTGTATTGTAACACATACGTATACTCAACACACATGTATACACGTTAAAATGAACTCACATCACAGTATGTACCTGCAAACTGTGACAATGTGATTTCTAGCTATCCTGCTAGCGGGCACGCGCACACACACACACACACACACACACACACACACACACACACACACACACACCCCTCTCTGCTTGTTCCGTTTAAGGACAGATGGGAAGGAAATACATGTTGGCTATTCAATCCCAGAGGAAAACCTTTTCCCTATTCCCCTTGCCTGACACTAAGCAGTAACAGACAGTGAAAACTGCAGGCAACAGGCTGTCATTGCCGCATCATGTGGCTGGCTGGCGGAGAAGGAGCACTGGCTTGTCTGCTCCCAGACGTGATGCATGAAACATCATGGCTCAGCCGCTGGTTGACAGTGCCTCAGAGCAGAAACTAAGTTCCCTCTATACCATGGGTTGAGAATTCCTCTCTCTCCTCTGGAAATCTCAAATCATGTTCCCAGTCAACTGTCTAGTCAAGTGGAAATCACCCTCCTGCTGGTCCTTCTCACGGGCCATGACACACCAGCAACGCTGCCATTTCTAATATAGGCTGAGCGCATCTTTTCCCTCATGGCTGTGTCGCTTACCTGGAGGGGCAGCACGACAAGGGCAACGCAAATCATTATAACCACCAGGAGCTGCGAGGGCCAGATCTTTGGGGTCACATCTCCATAGCCCACGGTGGAGAAGGTGACGATACAGAAGTAGAAGGACTTGAAGAGGGAGAGGTTGTCGCCTGCTCTTTCTAAATGCTGGATGCCACAGGTTCTGGAGGGAGGAGGGAAAGGGAGCATGTGTCAATTAGGCTTTCACACGGCACTCCATGAACATCAGGTTCCTGATCCTGCAATGAATAATGTCCTCCACTCCTACTCATGCCAGTGGGGGAAGAGGGCCCTCTGGTATTTGCAGGAGACTGCCCTAGAAGAAGCCTTAAACCTACCAGACTCATGGGCAGAATTCACCCCTGGTGTATCACCAGTATTGTCAGTGGGATAAATCTGGCCAGCTTGACAGCACTTCTAGTTTAGAGGTTCAATTTGGCTCAGATAATCCTCCCCCTCAATTAACATCTTCATCAGAACATGACCTCAAACTCTCGCCATCAGGTACCACACTCCAGTAGTACAACGCCACTTATGTAGGCACCATGGAGTCCAAGGCCCTATGTTTCTGACAGAACCGAGTGTTGCAGAAAGGTAAACGGGAAGCTCATTCCATCCTTGATATGACTCAGATGACATTAAGGGCTCTCAGTCTCATGACTGACTTCAAGTGAGATTCTTCAGCAAGCACAATGCTGCTAATACATTTCACTCCGCACTGCACCACTTTTCTCTTTGGAAACACAAACCCTCTGGAACCAAGCAGCCGATTGCCTCAGTAGTTAGTCAGCATCACTTGAGAGGCATGCAGGTTAAAAGTCATCTTGGTGAACAGAAATAATGTAGAAGTAGCCTTGGAATTTAATTCTAGTGCTATCAAACAGGCCAGGAAATACATATAGAGTCACAGAGGGCATGCGCTGCTAAAGGCAAAGTGCACTGTGGCTTGTTTTTATTTAAAAAGACCTGTCAGGATGTTTAGACCTATTAAACTCATCAGCGTCACTTTGTGTCCACTTACAGCTTAACTGGTATGTTACATTCAAAGTCCAGACCAGTGGAGATGTAAGAAAATGTCAAAAGTCTAACTATACATGAAATACCTAACAATGGAAAGAGGTCCGTGTTGTTTTAAATGCATAGGGTAAAGGGTTCTGTTAATTAGCAGATGCCTCCATGACCCGTTAGACAAATGGCAATCTAGCAACCATGGTAACCTCCTCCAGATGAACAGCATATTTAGGAAATGCAATGGCCTTAATGTACAAGCCATCACAGCTGAATTAGTGTCCAACAAATATCTCCCCTTTGAAAATCACCAGTATCGCCCTGAACATGACAGCACTTACTGCCTGCTCTGAGCCATGTGAGCTTGCATAAGCCAGCCTTGATCCTGGCATGCTCCAATTAACAAGTTTCTGTTAAAATCATGTAATTAGAGACAATCATTGGCTCCTAAAATAGGAATTGATCTGCCTGAAGCTAAGTGTTCAGGAGGACAAAGCAAAGTAAGGAGACGCTCTGAGTCAGTGGAGCGCGTCTGATTCTTTTATCAGCCATCACCACTTCCGAAGATCAGGCTCTAAAAAAAAGAGAAAAAACAACAACAACCCAAAATGCTACAAAAAGGTGTTCTGAACATTTAGGATTACTTCCAGCTGGTGTAAACTGGTATAGCTCCATCAAAGTCAAATGCTGATTTACACCAGATCTGGGCCTTAATCCCATCAAACTAAATACTGACCCATTTGAGACCAATGGTAAAGCACCCCTTGAGCTCAATGGACCCAGGATTTGGCCCTGTAGAATTTGTGATGAATGGAGATTAAAAGGCTTGGGAACTCAGTTTGGTTTGGGTAAACAGCCCTAAACTATGATGCTTTGATCAATATATATATATATTTATATAGTCCTCTCCAGGACTCTACAGAATCCAACTGGAATCAGACTGGAAACTTCCTGCTGCAGCCATGGGCAGAATCTCCTGCCAGTTTCCAAATCACAGTATGGGATTTTGGTGCACTCCTCCAATGAAAGCCAATGGGAGCCAGGCAGAGAATCAATCCCAGCACCCACTCATGGGCATGAGAATTCACCCCACCCCAAACATTCTATTCTCCATTGTTCAGGTCAACAGGAAATAGCACCGACAAAGTGCACATGGTAGCTTATAAAGTCGGTTTTGTTGACTTTTCCATTAGATCTTTGAGAGCAAGAGAGGTTCTGCTATGGAGGCTCCTTCAGCCATGCTCCCCCTCCCGTGTCTGTGTGCATTAAAAGGACTCTTTGCCCCCAAGAGCACCACGTAGGAGGCAGTATAACCAAGAGGGGGTGAAAACACCATTGAATCAATGCTGCTTTTAGTAAAGAAGCTTCTGTCCCATCCCCCCACAACACACACACACACACACACACACCTCCAATAACAAAAGCAACATGCAGTTAGCAAATACATGACAGGTTATCTGGACACTGATACCTTTGCCCTCCAGAGGTGAACAATATTTCCTCCCACTGCTTAAAGAGGAAACAAATATTTTTGCATGGAGATGGAGAGAAGGGAAAGGAGTCAGAAAAAAGAAAAAAAAAATCAATAGATCAACCCTTCTGCCTTTGTGTCCAACTGCTAGCAGTGCGGCCACATGATGAGTGTAACCACCTAGAAGAGCACTGGGCCTCAGATCATATCCACAGGGAACAGCAGTGCAATTGGTCTATCATGTATCTTGCCACATGTCATCATCCGAGGGGCCGTGCTTCAAAGAGCGATTGAAAAACAATCTCTACTGGGCTGACTTGGTTGTGTTACAACAAAAACAAAAAAACCCCACAACACATCGTGCATCCAACAGAGGGGTTTTGTTTTCTTAAGTCACATTTACCCCATGCTCTAGAGAAGGAGAAAGGGCTGATGTTCTGTCTACGTAGATGGAGGAGGTGTGCCAGTTTGGGCTTGGAGCACGGCCCCATCTCTCACCTTGCCAAGGTCAAATGTGGGATAAAGACCCAGAACAGAAGCCACATAAAAGTAATTGTGCTTGAAACGGATATGGGAGTAAGTGTCTAATGTGTAGATGCAATTCTGTTAACTATGCGTGCAAATTAGGCATGCAGATATTTTCTCACATGATTTTGAAAATCTGGCCCTGACCTATATTGCCAACCAATAACATATTTGTATATGGTACTCTCATGCCTAGTGACTCCAATGCAATAGTGCTGTGGTTCTGCTAACAATGTTAATGGAGCAGAAAAAAATTCCTACTAGCACCAGTTATTTGTGAACTTCAAAAGGTCTGGAGCTCAGTTTATGTTCAGATGAGCACCAAAAGTCTGGAGGCTTCTATGAGTTTCTGGGCTGGATATCTTGAAAGAACATGAAAGGAACTGAAGAAATTCAAGCCAAAAACACTGCAAGAGGCAGCTCTTCAAAGCCCATAATAAACTTATGGTTCTCTCAACTGCTCATTTGAGCTAATTCCTTAGCAATTTTGCTCTCTCCTGTGACTTGGTCCCCTCCCCTTCCCGAACCACAGCAGCATGCAGCAAACAAAAGCTGGTTTACTGAAGTAATCTGAATGTGTGGCCCTAGAATGGTGAGGATTGGAGCAGGGGGTCAAAAGTCTCTGTGCTCTCACTATCCGGAACAAAGAGAACAGGAGTACTTGGGGCACCTTAGAGACTAACAAATTTATTTGAGTATAAACTTTTGTGGGCTACAGCCCACTTCATCGGATGCATAGAATGGAACATATAGTGAGGAGATACATATACATACAGAGAACATGAAAAGGTGGGAGTTGCCCAACCAACTCTAAGAGGCTAATTAATTAAGATGAACTGTTGTTTGACAAGAAACTGTTAAGTATCCTCACAGCTTCTTGTCAAACTATCTTAAATGGGCTATCTTGATTATCACTACAAAAGTTTTTTTTCTCCTGCTGACAACAGTTCATCTTAATTAATTAGCCTCTTAGAGTTGGTATGGCAACTTCCACCTTTTCATGTTCTCTGTACGTATATATATCTCCTCACTATATGTTCCATTCTATGCATCCGATGAAGTGGGCTGTGGCCCACGAAAGCTTATGCTCTAATAAATTTGTTAGTCTCTAAGGTGCCACAAGTACTCCTGTTCTTTTTGTGGATACAGACTAACATTGCTGCTACTCTGAAACCTATCCCGAGCAGCTCCTCTGGCCTATGACATGGTTGAGTCCGTTTGTCTCATTGCACTTTGGGCGGGAGCTTCGCGGCAAATGGGTGGGAAACTTCCAGCCAGCTATGCAGCCTCCCTACACAACTTTCTGCTCCAGAAAGCTGGGCAACCTGCAGTCGGAAGAGGCTCTAACGTGATTTTTCCTGCCACAGCAACAGGATAAAAGTGATACCCACAGAAGAAATTTCTGCCTATCACATTTCAGACCACCACATTCCACCACGCTCTGTTAGGGCCCGATCTTGCAAAGTCATGCGCATGCACATGACTCCTCACAGAGTAAAGTGCTAAGCCCATACGTAAGCCTTTACAGGATCAGGGCCTTAGCCTTTCCCTCGATCTATTTAATCACTGCCTTATGTCACATTATTTATTTCATGAATAAATGTGGCATGCAGCCAGGTCAAGGGTTTAGAAAAAAACAAACAAAACTGCTTACCCTGTGAAAACAAGACACAGCAGGGTACAAATCAGAATCAGCACCTGATTGAACATGGCGGATTGCGTCCTCTGTATCGCTCGGTGCAGGTCGTTCTGGAAAAAAGAGAAGTCTCACTTGGCGGACAACTAGGATAAATACTTGGGTGCAAACCTACCCCTCCGTTATACCTGTGCAACTTTGCTGACTTCCAAAGGGTTGCGTAGGAAGCAACTCAGGCCAGAATCTGTCCCTTTTAAAAAGTGTCACATGCATTTCTGTAAGGAATAAGTATTGGCCTATTCTTTCCCCAAACCTGAGACACTGCAGAGTGCAGCTCTGAAAATGGCATCGTGAGGCATCATGGTCATCACTTCTGAATGCAGCCAAGTGTGTGTGGGGGGGGGGGGCGAGTCACTGATAAGGGCATTAGTGCAAGGGATGGTGCGGAAGAGACCAATGATGAAGAGGATCTAGTGACAGAGACTGGAACGATCCTGTGCGTGGGAGGTGAGGAGGAGGCAGTTAAGGCCTGGAGGTAGCAAGCCAGGGTAACGAGGAGGATGTCGAGATGACAGATGGAGGGAAATGGGAAAAGCCATTTCTGTCCTGTTGTAACATTGCAAACTCTTCGGGGCAGGGACTGGCTACTGGTCTGTGTTTGTACAATGCCTGGCACAGTGGGGCTGCATTTGTGGTTGGCCCCTTATGCACAGCCATAACGAACATGAAATAAATAAATAATAAACAGAGAATTGTGCCACATGGCTAAAAGCCAGCTTCAAAGTACCCATTAACATGCAATTTCGAAGCATTCTCTGAACACAGGCCTTAAGAATTCAGCTATAGTCCCCATGGGCAGAGCTTTCAGAAGGACTCAGATCTCCAATAGAACTCAAATCCCATTTAGACACCTCAGTAAGTGGCCAGATTTTCAGAAAAGCGTCTAATCTGGTACTAAGGGTCACAATGGGAGCTGTTGGGGGCCTGGGTCTTTTAAGCATTTGGCCCCAGTTGTGGGTCCTGTGCACTTGAAAATCTGGCCCTAAGTATAAATTTGAGTCACCGCCTTGGCAGCATAATCCACAGGACAATAGGGTCCTAGAGCACATCAGAGCCTGCTAGCTCTTGATTTAAGGTGTCAAGTGGAGAGCACTGAGATACTCTCCAAAGATGGGGCATGGTTAAGGACGCCTGAAATTTACAGTTTCTCTCTCAATATTAGTGTAAAACAAGCATCCCGAAACAATAGTAAGAAGACTGCCATCTACTCTTCTGGTTACGCTGGAAGGGAGTGGGTGATCTTTGGCTACTCACTATCATGTTTTCCAGGGCGTACTTGGCCAGCCAGCAGTTCAGAAAAACTGGAATAAACAAATTCCGTAAAGGGGACCAGAATATCTAGAAAACAATAGTTATTTGCAGGTTTACTTGAAAAACACTCACAAAAATCAATGCTCCTTTATTAAATAAGTCATAAACAATAAATAAGTAAATAGTCAATTATTAGCCCTACTCCCTAAGAATCTAATTTTCAAAGTTTTGGCAGAGGAATACATGAGGATAATTGGCCTCAAAAGATTACAGAAACTGCCAGTTGCAAAGGTAGGGTCAGATCCTCAACTGGCCAGAAGCTGGGAATGGGCGACACGGGATGATCACTTGGTGATTACCTGTTCTGTTCATTTTCTCTAAAGCACCTGCATTGGCCACTGTTGGAAGACAGGATACTGGGCTAGATGGACCATTGGTCTGACCCGGTATGGCCGTTCTTATATTGGTGCAAGTTGGCATAACACTACTGATTTCAATGGAACTACATTGATTTACATCAGTTCAAGTTCCAGTCCTTAGAATAGAGTTTTCATGATCTGCCCCAAGTCTCTGTAGCCTTGACTATACTGGCCAAGTGCATGGCTATAATTGAGCAGCATTGCAATCTAGGTTAGATGCAAACACCTGAGACCTGTCTATGCTCCATCTTCCAAAGTCGCTGACACCAGTGGAGCTGAATTATGGCTATAAAGTTTGGCCATGATCCTGCAGTGAGCTCTGTGCTGGTGCAGGGGTCTTGATTACATTGGCCAGTATCTGAGTGGGTCACAAACAATGCGGTCTCAGGGCTGATGGCAGGCAGACCATCTTCCATACAATCCTAGAGTTATGCAGCATGTTCACAACCAACCATGGAACCAGGAGAAATGCAGCCAGTCCCGAATTTCATGAAAAGTCTTTTTGAACCCATCAAGAAACTGGAAAATTTAAACAAAAATGAACATTTCCCACAGAAAGTCATTTGTTACTGAAAAAAAGGTTTGGGGGGAGGGGGAGAGGAGTTGACCTGCTCTTAACATTTCCTGCAATAGGACAGACGCCCATTAATCATGGTTTCATAATGAAAACAGTGTAGCGTAGCATTTATTGAAATGTGATTGGTTTAAAAATGTCAAGAGCAAACACTTACTGTGATTATAAAGGGCACCGTGTTGATCATTTCAAGGATGAATGAAATGCGAAAAATCTGCTCCCAGATGTTTCCCTGCAGAATGAAAAAAAATGCATAGTTTAATTAAATAATCCCGGAAGAATACTGAAAAGGACAATTTAAAAGGTTCCAATTTGGGTCATTTCCAGCTATTATGATGTTGTAGCAGCCAGGAGAAAGCTGGGTATTTCATAGCAGGCAGAAGCAGCCCTGGTCCTTTTCCCAAAGAACTTATGATCTACATTTTAGATAAGACATGAGGAGCGAGTGGGATGAACAGCAGGAAGGGGATGAGATGTGGGAGGTCTGTGGATTATTTCTGAGTGAAGCTTAGTTTATGACACAGGCAGCAAAGACCCCTAGACTATCACCTCCTTGAAGCAGAACCGTGTCAGCACTCACCCAATAACAACAATGGAACGGAGACTATAAAGAAGAGCAGGGGAACAGAGTGCCAGGGTACGAGCCTTTCACCTTGAACGGAGCAGGTTCTAACCCAGTTTAGAGGCCTCTGGATTTCCAGGGAACCATTCTGCTTTCAGGAGCAATTCTCCCAGCTCTCTGTCTTTTTCAAGGTAACTAGAGCTTTTTAAAAGCCTCCCTAGGGTTGTCCTCCCTCTGTTGCCCTCTGGGGTGGGCTAAGCATTGGAAAAGAATGGGAGACGTCTATTTACAACAGAGCCCTGTTCTGATGGACCACTGTATCCTGCTCACTACCAGGCATTGAATTCTAACTTGGGAGGCCCCTGATTGTGGACAGACAAGCTTTCCTGGGACTCCTCGGTGTTCTGTTTTAGAGACACTCCAGATTCTCTTTGAGAAGGAGTAAAATAAGAGCACTTCTAGGGTTCTTCCTGGCTGGCCATAGAAGATTTTACATCTTTGGATTCCCCCTATTCCAAAATATTCTGTGCTGTGTGTGTCATTCCTTCATCCAGGTGGGCGCATCGGCAAGAGTCAATGGAGGGCTTAGGTAGGACATGAAATCAAATGTGAGTGAGGGAAAACTCCCTTTCTGCCCAGCTACTGCAATATATTTACTTGAACTTGTGATGCGTCAGTGAAAGATAAAGAAGAAAAGACAAATCGCCTCTATATTGGCTGAACAATTCCCACAATAGAGACGAGAAGAGAATTTCTAGGCCTGATTCCCTCTTGCCTCATTTACATTAGCGCAAAGTGGTTGCAAAATGCCACCAAAAATCAGTGTCTTGCACCCGTTTTGTACTGGTGAAAGTGATGCACAAAGGGCCGGCAATGGAGAATTAGGCTGCTCCTGTCTCCCGCTCTCTGCAGCCAGCTTGCAGAGCCTTCCCACCAGACACAAGACTGTAGAATCATCTGATTAAAGCATCAGGATTTTAGGGATCAGCTCATCTGCCTACAAGCGTGACGATGAGAGGGCATCCAACGTGCTGCAAACCTTATTGAAAACCCAGATGGGGTTCCTTCTAAAGGACACCTGGCTGAAAAGGCCAGCGCTGATACACCCAGCTACACACAGCATGACTAAGCTGCTAGAAAGAACAAAAGAAAAATGCTCCAAAGGGATGACATTTATTGAGGCCTTCTTTCTCTGAGGGTAAAAGGAGCCAGAGTGACAGGCCTGTAAGTAGAAGTCCTCTTCTCCTACACAGAACAGACGAAGCAAGGAATGGTCCCCTCCCTGCTGCCCCCAACTCTCAGCTGGTAGGAGAACCCCGATGGATAAGAGGGTATTTCTATCTCAGTGGCTTCTGAGCTGAGGCTGCCACAAAAGACGGCGGTTAGGAGACGGTATGAAACCAAATGACTCCGCTACTGCACAGACACGAACGGTAGCACACAAGAGGACTGGGGGAGAAAGGGAGAATGAAGTTTTATCCACAAAACTAAAAGAAAATCCATGTTGTTTGAAAAGTGCCCCATTTGTGCTATTTTGGAGACTCCTTTGTGGGAAAGCTCAGTAAATGATACAGAACATAATCCATCTGCCTGGGCTGTAATCAGAATAGCGGCGAATAGCTATGCCGAGGTGCAGAAAACTGGTCCAAGGGGGTTTCAGGCATCTGACAGAAGGGAGATAAAATGGCTGTTATGAATCTAATAGTTCTGTGGCAAAAAAGGAATTTACAGGCATTGGCGTGTTCAGCCTCTCTTCTGAAGGCAATGAAGTTGAAGATTAACGTTGCAGCTGGGCCCCTATCACAGGCCGGCTGGCCCTTTAAGGGGAGCTGGGCTCAGTCTCGCCTTTGATGGCTAAGCTCCCCACCCCCAGCTGATCCTGACTGGCTGGGATCAGATGGTTGTTTGGTTATCAGACCCAGCTGGGAAGGAGCCAGGTGATTTCCATACAGGTCTGGGAGAGCTCAGCTGGCGAGACAGCTGCAGGAGGGAGGTTGCCTCTTGCATCTAGCCCTGAAGGGAGAGGATGTCAGGAGAGAAGGAGGCTCCTGAAAAACGCCAAGCCCCAGGCAGGTGTCATGGAGGCAGACTGGGGGGGAAGGACTCCGGGGACGGGGAGGGAGCCCTGAGGTCAGTGGCTCAGGTGGGGTCTGGGTCCAAAGGGACAAAGCTCTGTGAGACAGCAGAGTGAAAGGTAACCCAGGAGAGTGGAAGGCCCTTTCATTTCCTTTGCTGAGTCCCTTTCCGGGGCTGAGAGGGACAGCTGCCGGACAAAGCCTCCCTGAGGGAAGGTAGACCAGACACCAGGGGGCGCTGTGGGGGCTGATGCTGCCACAATCATAGAATCTCAGGGTTGGAAGGGACCTCAGGAGGTCATCTAGTCCAGTGGTTCCCAAACTTTAACAACCTGTGAACCCCTTTCACAAAAATGTCAAGTCTCATGAACCCCCTCCTAAAAATGAATATATCCAGGGATTTTCTCCTTTACCTGAGTATAAATTATAAAAGCAGTGATCTTGGAAATACACAATTTGTATTTATGATATGCTTATTACACATTTATTATTTATTTATCATTACAGTATTATTACATTATGAAAACAGCAACACTCTTCCAGGATCTCACTTTTGTAGCTTGTATCTCTTTGAATAAGCCTGTTATAAGACAAGGCTCCTATGTTTCATCAAGGACTTTCAGATGTGAAACAGCAGGAAGGTATTTAAGAAGCCAACTCAAAGAGTTCCTCCTACACAAGCATTCAGGTCTTGAGCAGTCCAGGCAAATAACGCACATTACAACAAAGCTTAAACTTGTTCTTCATAATAATTTTAAAAACAATACTAGCTGCCTATTTCATTTTTAAAACTGCAAAAAATAGCCACCTCCCTTTCCATTTCTTATAAGGAGTCTTGAAGTTTAAATCTCCTTAGTGTGATAGAGATGCTTGCTTTGATCTGCTTAGCTCTTGGAAGTCCAGGGGCTCCAGGCTGCTGGCCCCGTGCTGTCCGGGGTCCCTAGGGACAGCTCTGTCCGCCATTAGGGAATTTTTTCCCAAGAACCCACTGTAACATTTTGTGAACCCCCAGGGGTTCACGAACCCCAGTTTGGGAACCACTGATCTAGTCCAACCCCCTGCTCACAGCAGGACCAATCCCCAACTAAAGTCCCTTTTACAAGGGTCCATCCATTGGGATCCACTTCTTCCCAGATCTTCCACTCATTTCAGACCATGTCCCGCGTCTAGGGATGGCTGCGGCTAGACTCCCCAGAAGCTGGGCATGGAAGATGGGGGAAGATCACGCCATGAGTGCCTTGTTCTGTACGCTCCCCCTGAAGCTCTGGGATGGGCCACTGTCGGAGGCAGGATCCAGGACAAGATGGGCCATGGACTGTCCCCACATGGCAGCTCTTACGTTCTCATGTACTCCACCGAGCACTCACGCCGCTCAGTCCTACAGGGGGCAGCACACTCTGGCCTGAAGAAGGCCTGGGAGTGAAGTCAGTGAGACTCCTTGTGAGCTTAAAGTCAGTCACTTGCTTCCAGGCTTTGCTGGATCAAGTCCACAACACTCAGCACCACACAGGATCAATCCCTGTGACAGGACTCAGCAACAGAGCTGCATGGAGGTGCCAGGGGCCATATGTTGGTAAGCATCTTTTATTTGCCGTATGAAACAAACTGACTTTTCTTCGCTTGCAGGAATATTTCCCTGTGTGCCTACTGAAGAGTGTCAAGTATCAGGGGGTAGCCGTATTAGTCTGTATCTACAAAAACAACAAGGAGTCTGGTGGCACCTTAAAGACTAACAGATTTATTTGGGCATTCAGTTCAGCGAGCTCGGTGATGAGTGAGAGCTGGGAGACTTTCATGTGCATTAGAGATGAGATTCAAGCTGCAGAATTCAGATCCAGGTTTTTAATATTCTGATATTCAGTGGGTGCTTGGATCTGGGATTTGTTTGGCCCATAAAAAAAAAAAAAAAAGAGACACAGGCCATTTGCAAAATTCATTCCAGGTTTGAATTTCAAATGCCCACAGTAAAGCTGTGTTGGGAGCGATCTGAACAGAGCAGCTGCTGCAGCGTGAGAGGGAATGAGAAAGGAAAGACTGCCATTGATTTCAAGGAGTGTTTGATTGGGCCTTAAACTTTAAATCCATTACTTGGAGGGCTCTTACCTTGTAGCTGAGATAGATGAGAAGCATGGTCTCTAGGAAGCTGATTAAAGCTACGCTAACCTGAAAAAAATATAAAAGAATATAATTGCCTTGGGTTTGATTTGAAGCATCATCGGAGAGGTCTGAGGCTATCCAGCCACTCAAATAGTCTCGCTGACTGAGCATTCCCACCTGGTTTACAAACAACAAATATGAAAGTTGCCAGCCACGGAGGCTGTGAAGGACCTTTACTGAACCCCAGGACAATATGGGAGTGGCACAGATTGGGGATCACAATGGGAAATCCTCCATTTCCGCATCACACTTCTGTTGTCAAACTTCAAAGAGATGTCAGCCTGCTCTAGATAGTTCTTGTATCCGTGCAACTATGCTGGTTGGGGGGAGGGGAGGATTATTTTGATTTAACAAATAATAATTATGCTGATACAGTCCCTAGTGTGGAGGCAATTAGTAAGGTGCCTTATACCAATATAGCGTATTCCCTTTATACCCAAAGAACTGCATCCACACTAAGGCCTGGGCTGTTTTCACCGTACTGGTAAAGATAAAGCAGCGCCACTTCGGGGTTAGACAAGTCCTTGGGCTGAAATCCTGGCCCCACTGATGACGAGAGGAGTTTTATATCGAGTTTAATGGAGATGGGATTTTACCTTTTGTTAAAAATTCGTCACAGGGAAATTTTTCACCAATAAAACAACTCAGAGTAAAAATGGCCAAACGTGTTGGACCCATGACACCTTCCCTTCCCCCACCCAAGAACATCTAAAGATCAGAGATAAAAAGACTGGGGCAATACTGGGGGAGGAGGGGGGGATGAATCTTCTCGGGATGGGCCTTGATCCCCTGAACCTTATTTGGCTCCACTGTAGACCCACATTATCCCAGGCTCTATTGAGCCAGGAGAGCAGAGCTGTGCAAAACTCACAGTTTTATCTTCACAAACATTTGCTTAAACAGACTGTTATCTTTTCCATCGGCATTTGTAAGTTTCACCTAAGGTCATCTTGCTGCTCACAGCAGAAAAACAATCTATTTCCACTCACCAGGAAAATCTGTGTCCTCTATTTATCAGTCTTCGAGGATTTGTTCCAGGAAGAAACACTGATGACATAGAACAAACCTTGCACAAAATAAATACTGTATGCCTTGTGTGACAATGCCTTTGGTTCAGTCACTTACCTGTATGGCCCATAATGGCATTTTTCTATCCACCCATAAGATTGGAGCCCTATAAAGAAAATTCAAAGTGGTCCTAAATTGGAATCTGTTTTAAACAAACCATTCAATGTTTTACCCAACAGGTGTGATGTCAACATTTACTGATCTAGATCTTTATCAAATTCATTATTATTATTCAAAAATGCAAAGTCTGCATCCAGAGCTGAATTTCCTCAAAGTCAGGGGTCTTTCAGCCTCGAGTTTGGTTCAGGCGCAGCTAATTCTGCATCATTCCCTTTTGCAAAATAAACCTGGTGAGACTCACTGCTAGAAATCCCAAACTTTGGCCAGATACATGAATGTGGGATGAGTTTTTGGCGAACCGGAACCAATGGATGGATTCAGGTGAAAGCCATCTAGGACTAAGCAGTTTGGGAGTGAATTCAGGTTTTGAATGAGTTGAATAATTCCTGCAAATCTCAGAGACTCAGGGTGCAAAGGGAATCAAACTGGAGAAGGTTGCAGAACCCTCAACAACTGTAAGTCTTGACATTCACAATGCTCCAGAACAGAATCTCTGGTGAACTACAATTAGGCTCAGCCACCTAAAACCCGGCATGCTCCACTGGGAGAGACTGACAGGATCCATTAGCTGGAACCATCAATTGTTCTCACTCTAGGACAACTTTGTCCATTAGACTTGTTTAGCAGAAACTAGACAGAATTTGAACCGCAAACCTGCGTATGAAACCTCTCCCAGGCGACGTGCTGGTTCTGACCCCAGACAATGCAAACCCGCTTGAGGTGAAATTTATTTCCCATGCACATCCAGTCCTACCCTAGCAAGCAAGAGCGAGCGTGCTGAATTGTATGAGAGTTTTGTTAACAGATTACTGAGAATACCCTCTGCATGGAGAATTACTCATTTCCAAAAGCAGAACAGTGGATGCTTTTCTAACTGTGCATCTCAATCCCTCCGTTACTGAGATTCATATTCTCTCTCTTCCTTTGACAGCTGCATCACTATGGACAACCAGTGGCTACAGGCAGCCACAAGCATCAGAAATTCATATTACTGGGCTCCCCAACAACTGGTTAGAGTGGAGCAGGATTTAAGTGCTATTAGCAACTTACCAGTTTATTTCTGTAGACGACTGGTTGAAGGTTGAGTAATTCTGCTTTTCGCATTCCCAGCTAAGACAAGAGAAACACAAACCAAGAGGGAGGCAATCAGTAAGATAAAACAGACCAGCCCAAGGGGCAGTGAGAGATAAAGAATAATCCAAGTCGGAGCCTGCCTCTTAACTTCATGAAAGTGACGCAGGTTGATAGCAAAGCCATTGTTCCCAAAAGGAGAAAGAGCCTGGAAGCTGCAGAAACCAACTGGGTTGTCGGTGCTATATGTGCTTTCAGCTGACATATGCAGCACGGTCTAGTAATAATAATAATACCCAGCAATTAGAGTGGTTTTAATCCAGGGGGCCAGAGCCCATTGACTTCACTGAGAGTTGCAGACACTCTGCACCTATAAAGATCAGCCCCCCAGGTGTGACTAACGCAGGCAGTTTTGCTGCATCACTCTGGCAGGCTAAAATCAATCAATCAATCAATAAAAGCCAACCAACCCCGTTTGTTCTAGAGGTTTTTTACCTGCAGTTGTTAAAAGCTTATCCACTAATTCAAATTCTGACCAGTAGCACTAAAACTAACCCTCTGCTCCCCGCTCTCCAGAACGGTTAACCAAGAGCCAAGTTCAAGGGCCGCCACGATGCTAATGAGTGGAAACAGAAATGAATGCAAGTCGTTAATCATTCTGTTTGGCACAATGCAGAGTGACGATACTTCACAACCCGGAAACACAAGCGTGGGTGCCAGGTAGCATGGCTCTTCACAATTAAGCATCCTGGACAGGTGGGTTGGGTGGGGAGGGAAGAAGACTGCAAAGCAACAATGCATGTTTCAGACGGTACCAAATTGCTTTGCACAAGTTTGGAAAGGTAAAATCGCCAAATGGGGAAAGGACTCTGGTATTGATGCTCAAAGTGAGCTACTACCTTAACAAGAGGAACATTGGTCCAGTAGTTCAGTCACTAGCCGTGCCCATGGGAGACTGCTCTGCCACAGATTTCTTGTATGACCTTGGGCAACTCACTTGAGTCTCTCTGTGCATCAGTTCCCCATCTCTACAATGGGGACAATAGCACTGCCCTACCTGACAGGGATGGTGTGAGGCTAAATACACTGAAGACTGAGAGGTGCTTAGATACTACAGGAGAGAGGGTACATACCATAGAAAGACCGTTGGAAAGCACTTGAAACAAATTTCTCCTGGGGCAAGTCCCATCTAAACGTTGGGCTTTCCCACATAAAAGCGCCAACGGCTAAAGTACATTACAAATGTACTTTCTGTTGTTGGAACCCCAGGTCTAGCAGAAGCTAGGCTCATTAATCCTCTAGGCCTTTCATTACTATTGGACCATCACCTTGTATTTGTAAAGTGTTAAACACGCCAAGCAAGATGCCATAAGGTGCAAGACACTGATGAACCTGCCTGATTAAGTAGGTTATTTCTGAGGATATTGTTCCTTTCATTATTCTAATGGGGACTTAAAAGACCAGCTAAAAATTTAAAGTACAAGGTTGGGTGGAATAACATTAAAAACTGAAGTCTGAGATAAGTGTGTATAAGGTGCATTTCTTGGATTTGAAGTGCATTGCACTAAGCCTATTTGACTTAGTTAAAAGTTTTCAGCGAAACTGAAATGTCTCCTGGAAACATATTGATTTTGACTCAGCTGTCATTGGGAAGGCAAGCAAGAGCACCCCCTCCCCCCACCTGATAGCCAATAGCCCAATGCTTGGAGCACTCACCTGAGCTTGAAGTCCCTCCTCTACCTGATTCAGCATAGGAATATGAACCTGGGTCTTTCGATATCCCAGATGAGTTCTCTAATCACAGGCTAGAGAGTCCGTTTTTCATGGGTTTTTTGTTCCAACGAGAAGTGAAAACAAATGTCAAAACCACTATTTTTTTTTTTTTGAAAAACGGAATATTGTTCTCCAGCCAGCCCTAGAAAATACCTCCCAAATGCCATTGTACACCATAGTAATGAATCTAGTATTAATATCCTCCTGTGACATGTTTGCATCTCTGAATATAAAAGCCCTTCATCTCAAACTATGCCATGGGCTGAGTTCTGGAAACAAACATCAATTCATCTGTAAAGCAACAACATTTCGAGAAACATCTGATCAAGCCAGCATCTGTCTGTCACCATCCTCTACATCCAACTGGTCACACCTCATCCAAAACCAATCACCACCTGCCTTGCATCACAGCTTCTTGGGACATTCCTCCCCATGCCCAGAAAAGTCTAACACCAATCTTTTCAACCAAGCTACATTTCAATGATGTATTCTGATGGCCTCTGAAATTTACTCTGCGGTAGATCCTCAGCTGACATAAATTGTCATAGTTCCACCAATGTCTGTGAAGCTACAACAGGTAACACAAGCTGAGGTGCTGCCCCTCTATATACAAAGCTCTTTAAACGTCTTCCTGTTGCAGAGGACAGATGTGTCTTTCAACAAGAATTCAGTGTTGTTATCCAGTGGAATGCTTCCTAAAAGGTCAGAAGAATTTTAAAGGGCCAATGACTCTTTATAGCAATTTATTTTATACATAGTACAGTAGATGGGTCCAAACTGACTATGCAAGAATGAAAGACTTCACTGAAATTCACCCTTGTACGTTTTAGGGCATCCTTAGAAACCCCTGAGGAGGGGAAGTGAGTGAGTGGCAGGTGTGATTTCCACTCTGGGCTCATATTATCTGTGTTATCATAATTATGCTGAGGAATGTCATGAGATAAAATTTTCAGAAGTACCTAACTCTCACTGATGCTTAAATCCCATTGAAAGTTAATGGGACTTTGGGGCCCAAGTTACAGAAGTATTTTTTGAAATTTTACCCATGGTGACTAAGGAAGTGATCAGCAAATCATTAACACGGACACGGAAACAAATCACAGACCTACTCTCCACTGTTACTGATCCAAAATAAGCTGGCAGAGCAAGGGGGAGCTCGGAGTACCGTGCCGATGTTCCCCACTGATGGCTGTTATCACTGTAAAATGCGGCAGAGCGGAAGCTGCCTCTGAATGAATAAACAGAGGAGATCACAATAGAGGCCAGGCTATTGAACTTGCATTTCTAGGGCAAACCCAGCTGCTCCTCAGAACAACTAGCCAGGCAGACAGCAGTGAAAGGCGCAGACAGAGTATTGAGGCTAAGACTTCATCACGCGCTATTACCGTGGAAGGATGCAGCCATGCTGACCAGCATTTATTGCACACGTATTGCTCCCCACCCCCAAGGCTGAAGACTCTCTCTGGACTGGAAAGGAGTTTTGCTGCAAGCAATCTGGGAAATCGAATGCAAGAATTCAGCCTCTTTCATTGAGCTTTGGTATGTTAAGCCTCACCCCGGTTAATATACACTGGCTGTTTCACTGTCCATGCCAATGGAGGCCTAAAGGTGTGAAGATACCCTCGGATAATGCAAATATATCAGACAATAAAATGCCTCTTTTAAAATCACATTTCGACATGGACAAACAGAAGGAACTGAATCCACCTAGAAAGAGTGACAGCATCTTAAAAGACCAGACTCTCTATCTGGCTGGGTTTTCACAGGCAAGAGAAGCTGGAATTCATTTTACTCAGAGACATGTGGAGACATTCTCCTTCTTCCAAGAGTCAATTGATTTGCCAGCTTCCTAAGAGAACTGGCCTGATATCAACATCCCCCAGCAACCCAGATGGTGAAATACTGTCAAAAATAAGAGGCATGGTCCAAACATAGGATGTGAATCCAGGAACTTCAGAGTTCTAGTTCTGGCTCCGACACGGACTCTGGTCACTTCACTTTCTGCCTACTCACCTCCTTCACTGGGCTTGTGAGGGATAGGACAGAAGATGGAAACGTTCTGTATTAGTGTCAGATGTTTCTCCTTCCCCTGCCTTCACACCTAGATAAGTAGCCTGCAGCCTTGGCAAACAGAAGAATCAAAATGCTAATTGACTTGCATTCTGTGCTGGGAGAAATTATATATAGATAAGAGGCAAAAAAAGGACACCGGCAAATAAGACACATATTCAAATACTGAGCAAAGCTGACATATCTAATCATCTGTCAGTTCAGCTCTTGAAATGACAACACTGATCTCCTCCCAAAAGACTTAAACAGGATTTAGGGTAGGTGCCTTCAAGGATGTTAACATATAGAAAACATTTGTAGCCTACACTAAAGGCTTGAGCATTTGTCCCATGTCTGAAGGCAATTTGAACTATGAGTCTGCAGCAAGGTGGTAGAGTAATTTTTAAAGCTTTTTTAAAAAATTAATTTTAAAAGTCGAAAGCTTTTGTCAGGTCAATGAAAGTCATATACAGGTTGCAGTTGTGTTCCTGGCATTTCTCCTAAAGTTGATGAGCTGCAAACACCATGTCTATGGTCCCGTGTCTTTTCCTGAAGCCACAGACTCTCAGGTAAGAGCCCTCGTTCAATATGTTGCACAAGGCAATTCAACAGAATTCTGGCGAGAATTTTGCCAGCTACTGATAACAAGGAGATGCCCCGATAGTTGTTGCAGGAATATCTGTTGCCTTTCCACTTGTACAAGTGGACAATGGATGCATCTTTGTACTCCTGGGGTATAGTTCCTTGAGACCACATTGATTGAAAAAATTCAGTCAGTTTCAAAGCCATGTGCAAGCCTCTGGACTTGTAGACTTCTGCTGGTATAGCATCTGCTCCAGGTGCTTTACCATTTGACAGCACGTCAATTGCTTTCACAGTTTCAGTCAGCATTGGGGGATCAGCTGCAGTCGATCAATTGCCTCCTCATTATTAGATGATTGTTGATTGGGGATGTTGTTAAAGTGTTCTGCCCACCTTTGCAGTATCTTTTCTTTGTCAGTGAGCAGTGTGGTGCCATCGGCACTCAGTACTGGAGATGTACAACTCAAATGAGACACATTTCAACTTTTTGATTACATTTACCAAAAAATGTTGCTGTTTTTCAGCCAGCTTGTAGGGCAATTTCCATTTTTGAAACTCAGACGAAATTTTTTCCCAGAGCATTTGGAAAACTTTCGGTGAAAATGTTTCTACATTTTTCTACCACCTTTATTGTCCAGTGCATTGTACTGGGCTAGTGAATATACAGACTATTATATCATAGAGTTTCAAACAATGAGGCAAGACAAGTCCACTTGGGGCATCCACCCTTCATCTTTGCTGTAGTACTAACAAAATGTTCACTATTACGTCTTCTATTAACCGTCTGCAAGGATGGTGACTTGACAGCTAATTGCTAAAGTGACACAGGTATCCATAGACACACACAAGAGCTATTTCCCACTACACAGAGTTCTGTTTGAGACAGTTCTTTATCTCTAGTTGTAAAGCTCACAGCTTTATTTTTCACCTCAGTGCATCACCGACATTTCGGCAGTTCTGATACGATAATGAAGAGATGATTTTTTCAACCTACATCAGAAGCGTCTGAATGGATTTCAGACAGAACTTCTAGGGGCTCTGGGAAATCAATAGTGCTTCTGAGACTTGGTTTGAAACATTGGCTTACTAAAAAGGCCCTCCAGGATGCGTAATGGCAGCTCTATTGCGAAATACATTTAGACTAATCGTTCTGTGTTAGTTCAGTTAGACTAACATGTGGAAACAGATCATCTTATGGACTGGGGTCCCAATGCCCAGCCCGACCCTCCAACCGGCCCCTTCTAGACCTTCTGCTTTCCCCATGGCATTCTTTGGGACCCATCACTGTCCACGGTAGTTTAAGGATAACAGATGCACACTAAAAAATATGCCACAACTTCTGAGAGTTTCAGCGATCCCACAAGAGGCCTAAACAAAATACGCTGCTTTGTTTCCTCTGCAGCTACTGGTAATAATCATAAAGCATGCATTCAGAGCAGAAGAGCCCCCGTCACTGCCGTAAGTAGATGAATAAATAAGACGGAACAAACTCTGGGAGGTAGGAGGGGCAGATATAGACTGGTGGATTGTCATTAGTTTTGGTTTTAGGAATTCTCAATTCTATCAGACAAATTTGTTAAATCAACTGATTAAAAATGAAGAAAAAACAGAGCAGGAAGAATTAGAAATTTTTTTGAAATAATGTTTACAATAGGCAGGGAAAAGACAAAAGGTGATAATATCACCACTCACATATCACTGCTCATTGAATTGTTGTGGGACTCAATCAAGGTGGAGGAACATGAAATGTTCCCGTTTATGTCCACTACTGCCCTCTAGTGGACAAAAATTGACCTGCTTATATGTATGACCAGCAGGTTCCCTTTGATCAACAAGCCAGCAAAGCTTGAAGGTCTGTGATTCTGGAGCGGGGCATGAGTTCAGGTTTCCCCATGCCGCAGGGGTGCGGTTAGCTGGTGATCATGTCCTGTTTCTAGCAGTATCACTGTACCTCAAATTTAAGTTAGCATTCAAGCGTCCAAATGGAAAGGGGGTGAAATAAGTTATCGGCTAAGAGGAATCGCAAACTCAGAAGCGAACACTCAACAGGGCTGGAGAAGCAGCACTCTTTTTGCTTTGGTAAAAGGAAAAGAAGCAAGAGAAGATGCACTGCTATCGCCCGCAGAAATCTCCTCACCTCTGGATAGAAACCACTCCTTGAAGGGGAAAGTTGGTTCTCTATGTATTATTCCCCATTGCAGCAACTACGGAGACTCAGCACTACGGTGAGGAGGAAAGAACATGAGATCCCTTTATCTGGGACTGGACTATGGTGGAACTTCTGAGGGTATCATCACACCCACAGCCGCTTAATTGCTAGTAAGCTCTAAACATTAAGAAATGCTGTCTGGAGACCAATAACACTGAAAGATGCTTAGAGACAATCAGGACGGGAGCCTTATAAATACCTGATGATGGATTAGACAGACAGATAAAATCCACCTTACTGTGTCTAATAGAGACTCACCATCCTATTCCCTCTGCTGGATTGTCAAGCAGAACACGTACAATATAGAGAAGACAGGTGAGAAGCTTCAGGGAGAAGTTGAAGAGCCGTATCCTTAGGCCTGCAATAGAAAAGACAACGGGGTAAGAGGCTAAAAAGAAACAAACATCCTCCTTCGCCTGTCTCAAAGAACAGTACTGCAGGGCTTCGGATGTATGACAGACACACAAAAAGATGCATACTCATCCGAGCAAAAGAGGGGGGTCATAAGAAAGTTGGAATTGCTGAATCAGACCAGCACAGCACCTAATGCAATATCCTGTCACTCACAGTGGTACCAGATGCTTCAGAGGAAGACGCAAGAAACCCTCCCACTAGGTCGTTATGGATAACCTGCCATCAGGGAAAATTCTCTCATGACTCCCATTAGTAAGAGGCTGGCTTGCCCCCGAAGCAAGAGGTTTTACAGCCCCTTCCAAATATTTCAACCTTTATTGTTATAACTCTGATTACCCGCAATAATGTCTAATCTGGTTTTGAATCATGCTTAGCTCTTGTCCTCAGTTATACCTTGTGGCAGTGTGTTCCACAGGCTGATTGTGTAACAAGTGAAAACGGATTTCGCCTTGAGCTGATCTGAATTTATGGCCTTTCCATTTCAACATTCATTTTTGAAAAAGAATATCCTGACTTCTTGGTGACTACAAAATCTTTCCCGAAGTGTAACTGTGGCCCCCGTGCTACCAGGAGATCCACGTGCGAGACTGTGGAATTGTCACCGGGGCTGCACAGCAGTGCAAGGTAGATCCAGCTGCAGGATCGGGGCTATGGGTGCAATGGGAAATCATTATTATGGGACATATTTTTTAAAAAGCTGAATTCAACCGGGCATCTAATTTTGCGACCACAATCAACTGCAAATGATAGGAACATATCTAGCTAAGGAATTTATATGGCCCCCATTACCACAGTTTCTTTACCACCTCGGAATCTTAACTGGTTTCTGTATTTATCCCCACAACACCTCTGTGAGGCAGGAATTGCTATTATCCCCATAGTACAAGTGGGGAACATGCACAGAGAGACTAGGCTCCAGATTCACAACGGTATTTAGACACCTAACTCCAATTTATTTCAATGGGAGTAAGGCACCTTGATACCTTTGAGGATCTCCGCCTCATAGAGCAGGGAATTGAACCCACGCCTACTGAGTCCCATACTAGCTTCTAACCACTGGACTCTCCTTCCTGTAATGTGCTGGATCTTCTGCCTGTGTCGATGGCATAGTTCCACATTCCGGCCCTAGATGTCTGAATAGACTCCTACGTTCTGTCGTTTGCAGCCACAGTGGATTGTGCCAGGAATTGGCGATGGACACAAAATTAGAGGCCATTGGATATCATTTGTCCCAAAATCTTTAGAAAACATGCTGCCTATAATGGGGAGAGGGAGAAAACCGCAGCAGCGGTCCCGTTAATGTCACTGTATTCTTGGAACATCTGTTTCAGTAGTATTTAAACACCTATTATCCTTTAAGCATGAGAATGAAGGAACACAGTAATTTATGCTGCTTATTATAGCATGCGTGGTAGGATGGGTAATGACTGCTTTTCTGGCTATTAGTACAGCTTGCCGGAGACCGGGAATGCTGTACGAACTTTGCTCGAGGCTTGTATGGTGCACTCCACATCCTACCCCGCTTCAAATAACTAGAAGGCCAACATAAAGAACTAAAAAGAGTCGGCTCTTTGCAAATCCCCTCCCCCCAGGATGGAAGAGAGGGATGTGGGCTGTTGAAGTTTTTATCCCCAGAATCAGCAAGCATCCGTTTAATAAGACTCGTACAACCACGCTGGGGTCCAGTCTTTGCTCATCACATGCTCAGTGGTTTATAGGAGGAGGACCAGAACATTCAGATTGCCACTTTATCCACTCCCTCCTCTTCACAGCCAGCTTATCAGGCTATTACTCAAATTACAAGTGAGAAATTCAGCACGTTTCCATTAAAATCCTCTCCCGGGCACCCCCTCTCATGCCACACACCAGCTATTTAACAAGTATACGACCCACAGAGAACAAAAGAAAATGTGAAATTATAAATTAGCTCCTAGATTCCCTGCAGGCAGCTAATGCCTTCCTCAGACAGAAAATAAAAGCGCCATTCTTCCAGTGGAATTAATCTGGGGAGTCAAAGAAAATAGGGGATATTTTTGAGACAGACAAGAGGAATCCATGGCCTGAAATGTTTAGAAGGGAGGGAGCAGTAGCAGCCTGGAGGTTCCTGTCCCTAGACATGAAAATTCAGGAGGTGGAGGTCATGTAGAGTTCCAACACTGTTTGAAGTTCAAGCAGGGTGCCCCAGCCCTATAAACATGCCACTGTTTTTAACAAAAATAAATGCAGCTTCATGCTATATTGTATAATGATTTACGGCAGGTCAGTTCATTCTCATCCCACAAGAAGGCGCCCATTGCCAGAACTTCCAGGATCAATCAATTATTTTATCTTTGTCATTCACAATCCCATCTGGGAGACTTTCTGAGGCCTCACTGGTGATTGGTAAGCAGCAGACATAATTGCTCTTCCGTTTTGATGGAAGTGTCCAGGGTGCATTCATTAATGTTTGTGCCAAGTTTAACAAAGGGTGAAAGAGGGCATATGACTCTCGTGAGGGTAATGTCTAGACGGCCATCACTGGGTGTCATGGCAGCTCAAGCAGATGTACCTGAGCTAGCTTTAATCTAGCCAGAGCAGTGAAGCTGCAGCAGTCTGGCCTGTACAAACCTACCCAAAACTCTGGGTAATGACTTGTAGGGTTAGCATCTCATGCTGTTACAACTTCACTCTTCCAGTACCTGCCCTAGCCACAGTAAAGCTAGTTCAGGTAGGTAGGCATGACCTGCCCACTTCAACACTATTCTGAGGGTTTAAATAGGATTTAATTAGTGCACATACCTTGTGCTGGTCTCTCCGCACAGGGGTGAATTTCACCCACACAGAACAGAACCTCATCGAGACAACCTAACATTTGCAGAGCTTCTCTTTGTAACATGGCATTTAAGACAACACACCCACAATGTTAAACCGGGAATCAGGGATGTCCTAACACAGACTCTCTGACATATACAAACATTTATAGCTTAAGGGGGGGGGGAGGAAATACATGGAAAATCACTTTCTATTAACATGTGAATCCCTGCAGAAAAGACACTGAAAGACACAGGAGCCCTGAACTGGATAATAACTTGTGGGTGTACACAGCAATTAGAAACGAGAGCCCCATAATAGCTTTAAAGGGTGCAAATGTATTACAAGTTCATAATGAGTTTGTCAAAGATCCACTCGGCAAATGCATTTCAGAGTACTGTAACCTGGCAGTATCATATATACAGAATATTGATTGGTGGATATCATCATGAGTGAATATTAAGTGATGTAATTATGAGGTTCTTGCACATCTGGCTGCCCACATCACCCTCTTCATCTCTGTTCTATTATATCTACGAGTGGTCGTTACTCACAGTAACTAATTATCAAGTAGTTTCCCATTCTGCTCCCTCTGACCGATATAAAATCCTCAGCTTTAATAAGAATGGGACAGAGGTGGTTATCCTAAAGAACTGGAGCAACCAGTTAATTACAAATAGTAAACAGACAGATGGCTGACACTAGGAGGGTATAACCATCTACGAGATAGTGCCACGGAACTTACGTACCAGCTTCCATGAATATTGTGCCTGCAGACATTAAGCCAGATTTTTAAGGTGCACATACAAAACTGAGTGCACCTGACTTGGATACAGCCCAGCTTCACTGGGTGCACGTGTCCCTCGATTCACACGTACATGTATGTTTCACCCCAATCAGAAGATTGCTCCCATTGTACACATCACTGCGCCACCTTGATGGCACAACCATCAGCTGTTGCACTGCCCTGCATGCGGATCGGGTATACGAACAGGGTGAGAAGCAATGCAGAGAATAAAACCGCTTTGCGTCTTGTCCTGCACCCCTGCCACCCCCTGCAATATTCACTCTCACTGGAACTTGCCCTGCTGCCAGATCTGATATCCCAGGAACGAATGCCTTAGTCCTGGCTCTCCGGCTAAGCTGTGGGCATCATAGAATAGCGGCTCACTACTTTTGGGGTAGACAAGCTTTCGAGCTACACAGAGCTCTTCCTCAGGTCTGGGAAAGGTACTCAGAGCGTCATGGCTAAATACAAGATCGAACAGACAGAATATCTGCTAACTACTTATGCTAAACTAAGGGACCATTCAAGGTGAAGTGCACCATTAACACCCCTGTAGTCATAGGACAAATTGGTGGGGGGGTTAGTGGGTTACAGATTGTTGTAATAAGCCATAAATCCAGTGTCTTTAAGACAATGATTTTTATTGTCTAGCAGAGTTAAGAAATTTAAGCTCCCAGGCTTGTCTTTTGAAAGTGTTGTGCAGGTTTCCTTTGAGGATGAGGAGCGACTGCTTTGTGAAAAGTGTTCACCCACAGGTGATAGGGTGTTTTTGTCTTTTATCATTTTCCTGTGTGAGTTCATTCGGGAGCGCAGTGATTGTCTGATTTCACTCACATAGTTGTCATTGGGGCGTTTAGTGCATTGGATGAGGTATGCCATATGTTGTGATAGGCATGTGTAGGACCCATGGATCTTGAAAGGTTTGTTATGGGGGGTGTTGCTCATCGTAGCAGTGGAGATATAGCTGCAGGTTTTGCATCTGTTGTTCTGGCAGGGTAAGGTGCCGCTTTGAATTGGTGTCCTGGTCTGTGGGGAGCTCACTTCTGATGATAAGCTTGGAGAGGCTGGAGGGTTGTTCTGATCAGATAATAGGAAGAGGAAGAGCTTGAAAGCTGTGTAACTCGAAAACGTCTCTATCAACAACAGAAATTGGTCCAGTAAAAGATATTACCTCACCCATCTTGTCCCTAATATCCTGGGACGAACATGGCTACAACAATACTGCATACTACAGGGGTAGTCATTTCGCTTGTAAATCTAGAGGCACTGAGCATCACCCTTGTAAACTGCAGCCAGGTGCCCTAGTAGTGAACACTCTATAAATGCCTGTGATGCTGACAATAGAAATATAGGATGCGGCTTTCCTATCCTCAATGTGGAATCACGTTCTTCTAAAGAAAGGAAGCCCACTCCCACACCAGTCTGCTTTCACAGATGAAACTCATTAACCCAGCTCCATCTAAGGCTAACATGCAAAAAGATAGTCCTCGGTGCTGGGAAACGGCACTTTGAAAAATCAACATCAGGATACAGAACCCTTGAGGCAGCAGTGCCAAGGGCACAGTGCTGAAATGTTGCAACCACTAGATGGCACTTGCTTTCCATCCTAGGACTGATGGAGACTGGTCAATGTGAGCAGCAATTTATTGCTCAAGTTAATAAGTATACCCCCAAAAATGTATTATCCTGCACATTGTTATCCATCACCTCCATACAAATATTGCTCAGACAGATTTGCTGTGGCTAATAGACCTGAGAGAGAGAGAGAGAGAGAGATTCTTTCTATTTTGTAGCTAGTTAGATTTTTCTTTTTTCTCCCTCATTCTTTTCATTACAGACAACCTGGTTATTATTGTAATTACCTGGAAAATAAAACTGTCATGGAGTGTCTTGGTACAAACACTTACTTGATCTTTGGTTTTTGATGAAGAACAGTTTGAGACGTTCTTTAAAGGTGTTTTCATTTACGTAGAACTCAACCTGTACCCTGTGAGCAGAAAGGAAAGAGAACTGAATTAACTGGGGCTGTAGTTAGTAAAGGTTTCATCTCAAAATCTTCCCACCTCTAAATATGTCCCACCCCATCAGGTGCTGTTTCTATATTTCTCACCCACCTTTTCCCACAATGCATCTTGTGAACAAGATTTAAATAAGAAACCATTAGAATGCTGCACAGAGCAGTAACCAGACGTTACTCTGGGGCCCGATCCCAAGCCAGATTCTGGTCAATTTGTGCTGCTCCTAAAGCACAAAAGGGCTGGAAAGCAGCCAAAACTCCTACACCAACATTTACAGCCGAGAAACAGAAGATGTGCCAGGGTGTTGCAAGGTCTGGCCTGGGGCAACTCTGAACTATGCTGGTCCCAGGATTGGGAAGCCATAGATGGCCCTCCTGCACCGATCAGCTACTGGAAATGAGACCTCGCAGTGACAAAATGCAGCCATGATAATTACCTGCGTGCACATACTTTAAAAAGCCATAGCAACGCATTAACCTGTATCATCCCAGACAGACTACTGCCTCTTAAACAAGCTGAGTGGCTAACCCAATCACACCGCGGGGGTACAAGCCGCTCCATCGTGCCCTGCACGACAACAGATTCTAGCGCCTCTAAGCTAGGAGGCACAGCAAACTCCCAAACGACCAAGTTCTCCAGCGAGAATGCCCTGACTCCAGCCCCCCAAGCTAGAGTGGCTCAGCGAGAGAGAGCCCCAGCTGACCTGCGATGGCAGCACATGGGAAGAAAGGAAGTTCCTCAGCAGGTCAGGATCAAACCGGGAAGATCCACGTTAATACCGAGCGTGGTACCTAGAAGCTGCTGCATTCAGAAAATTGGTGGGACCAGCTCCTTCTGGCCGTCACTTCACAGCAAGTGGGCAGACACGTTCTGCACTGACTTGCGGCTGCCACGTGATCAAGGGGAGCCTCCGGCAGGCCACACTGCAGTGGCCTAGTCTGGCAGTCACAAAGATATGGCTAGCCCCGATGGAAGCACTCCATGGGCCACCCAGGGGAAGGATCCCTAATTGGTGAGATCTCCTCCTCAGCTGGCACAGATCAGCGTAGTCATGATGATACGCAATGGCTGAAGATCTGGCCCTTAGTGTTTATAGTGATAAAGTTTTAACGTAACCAGGGAGTAAAGAAAAACCTCCCTGGTGCAGCGTGGAGCCTGACTTTCCCAAGGGCATTTGCCGCCCTCCGACAGCCATTTGCTCTCACAGCCCTTTCCTACAGCACCTGGGCAAAGAGAGTGACCGTTAACCCCTCACTCCTTGGCAATCCGTTAGAGACCCTGCACCATGTCACACATGGCAAGGGCCGCAGCACAGAGAAATGGCAGTGGTTGCCTGACAACTCTCAAATGAAACAAAAATGGATGCATTTGTCAACCAAAGCCACCTGGGAATCCAGAAGTTCCCCATACCTGTTAACTTCTTGGACAAAGGATAGATAACCCGACTCAGAGGAGGCGGCTCCCATTCCTGCTACACCCTACCATTACCTCTCTCTTCTCTAGAGTGAACTAGAAGTGCCTTCCTCTTGACCAAACCCTTCCCGCTACCTGAAGCCCTCTGAAGGCAGTCCAGCCACAAAGGGAGCGGCTGCAGCATCAGTGGGTGAGAGGATCTACTGACCCAACCCTGCAGATTTCACTGGAGGATTTGCCTGTGTGAGGACTGCAGGTTCAGGTAACAATACATCCATGTCTTTTTTCGAAAAAGAAAAACACGTGCCATTTTCAAGTTCCTAAGAGGATACCCACCAGAGAGCTAAAACTGTTTTAAAAAGGTACTTGCCCATGTTCCTTTAGGGCTCCCAGGTGAAAATATTTTATAGTTTAACCAGAAAATCGCAGTGTTACCCAAACTAAGTAGAGCAGCTGCCTTCTTTGCTGGCCATTTTCAGCGTTATTAGCTACATGTTAACTTCATTATGGAAACACAATTAATGGTTAGTCTGATGAGATTGCTCTGCCCAAAAACGGTATGTAAATCTCCAACGAGACTGGCTGGATTCAGTGTTATAGTGTTGCTTGTTCATCATATAGTCGGTTATTTTATCTACTATTCAGTCCATTAGGAGGTTATTGCTTCAACTCACTGTATGCTGTATTTTAACACGGCACGTTGACAGCGGATCTAATCTTGTTAAAGGCCACCAATAACTTGTTTTCTCTGTGATGTCTCAGGGATAATCCTTCCAAATTCCTGACCAGAACTTTGCAGCAACCAAAGAAACACTGCTTCCCTTGAGAATTTCCCCCAGGTTTTACACGGAGCCCAGTACAAGCTGGGAAAGGATTTTAGGAATTGAATGAGTGCGGTGCGAATAGCCATCCAAGGTTTGAAGAGCTTCCAGGGACTCAGCAGTCTACAAGAAATACCAGACCTCAAGCCAAAAATTTGGAGCACTGATGCTTCACACATCACTGACTTCCAAAGTATTACATAGAAAATATGAATGTCTTTCTATTTCGGGTAGAGGGTGGTGCCTGGTTTTGCATCATGACTTTCACCCGGGCAAAACTAGATGGGGCTTGGTTTGTTTCCTTTACACTTTACTGCAAGATTTACAATATTCAAATCTTCTCCAAATAGCTTCAGTTCCATTACAACCTCCCCAATCTCATCTCTCCTAACCACCCAGCCTTGCTCTGCATTCTGAGTTAGCTCCTGTACACTCAAAGCTGAAAAGATTTAGGGGGTCTTTAACCATGTCACTGTTGCAACAGAACAAGAGCGGTCATGAAGCATCAGAGATTCGAAAGAACATCCTCGTATGTTGAAAGGCAGGGTTTGCCCCTTGTAGCAGCTACATTCAGCAGGACTGAAGCTGTTAAAAAACAAACTCAGTCTACAAGAAGACAAATTACCTCTGTTGCTAAGATACCTTATTGGACCATTCCAGCCAATCCTCCAATTGCCTCTGAATTTTACTTGGCATTTGGGTATATTGATGGTTTATTGTATCAAGAGAATGACGCTTGACAGGCAGGGAGTCCCTGGGAGACCTTCATCATGCTACAGATGGTGCTCGAAGGCCCTCAGGGGAAGGAGTAGCGATTAACATTAAATAAGGCCCAGATTCACCACAACTGCTACTATTCTACCCACAAAACCTTGGGCTTTCTTCCTCTCAGGCCGCCTTTTTCTCCTCTACTACCCCTGACAGACACTTCCTCCAAATCCTATCTCCTGTCCCCACCCATAGACTTGCTTCTTTCTCACTTGGACAGTCCCGGTCCACCGCAGCTCACTTGGGCCTGGCTCAACATCCTCTGTTTTTAAGTCTTACGGAGAGGAGAACTCAGCGGATGGTTCTGCCTCATGACCAAGAGAGATGGAAGCACAAGTGCATCAAATGCAGAGATCAAAGTCAGGCAGGTCAATACCTAAGCACCCAGAAATCATGGGAAGGAAGGTTTCCCTTCAGTTACATGTGTTATTTCAGAATTAATAAGGCCAAAGTCCAACCCAAAGCCAAGGCTCAAGCGAGGTCTGAATTTTATCCCAGCTCCTCTGCCTAAAGATCAAGAAGGCAATTCAGGGAACTCCCTGTACTTTAGTCATTGTTTGTGGCTGACTTTATAGTCACCCGAATAAATGGCACAATGGGGAAAAGGGAGGTGATTTTAATATGAAGTGCAAATCTCACCCCTGGGTACTGGTGCTAAAACTGAGACTGGCTGGCAGAAGTCAGAGTCACAAGCCCAAGAACCAACCTGAGGGTGCAGATCTGGGATCTGGGAATCCATTGCTCTGTTATTCAGGATGTGAAACCAAAGCCAGTCCCCTCCCCTGCTCCTCACCCTGCAATACTTGCATGACAACTGCAACTATTTCCATTTTTATCTGCAAAAGTGAGGGAATTGAAATCCTAGACTTGTTGTTCTAAGGTGCCCAAGGCTGTGTGTGAAGCAGAGTTCAACCGCAGTAAAAGTATCTACAGGCCTTTACAGACACTCTCCAAGCACCTCTCTTTGGCATTTCTGCAGCTTCCCAGGTTGTAAATTACAGTTAGACTCGCTAATCAGAGCATAAAAGATTGTTCTGCAGATTAGCAATGGCTCCGTGTTTTATATTATCAGCAAGAAGGAGCCCATTAGTTACTATTAAACCGAGCAAAGCAACCAAGTGCAGTGAATTAGCAATGTCCATGCTTCACTGCACGCTGTCTTTAGAATAACGACTATTATTTAAAAAAAACAACCAACTAATTACCAGAGATAGTTGAAATATGATTGGGGAAGAGGAACGAAATAACCCGGGCACGAAAGCGGATAGCTGCGGTTGTCATGCAATCCTCCACTATCTCATTCCTTTTCACCTAAGTAACTGCCTGCACATATGGGGTTAGCTCTTGCCAAAAATTCAAGGCTTGGCACACCCTGGACGGGAAGATGATTTAAAGGGAAGCTGGGCTATCAGCTCTAACAGCAGGGACAGCTAAATAAATACTTACTAGGCAAGAATGCTGAGCTGCTGAGGCAGTGGAGAGCAAGAGGGGTTTTTTAGAAAACACTGTCATTGTTTCAGAATCCCTGTCCAGCCAGAGGGGGTCTGCCAGCGAGCGCTGACCGTTTGCTGTTACAGTCCCCGACCCTTCTGCTGGGAAGTCACCAGACGTACGGGAAGCAAAGGTCACCTTTGGAGTGAATGAGAGATCAGCTCCTCTGAGCTGTTTTCTGGTAAACTCTCTTACTAAGTTAAAAGGATTGTTGGTTAATTTATGACAGTTCAATTCATGTATAACCATATCTGTATGAATGGTAAGGTCATCGTCTCTAGTTACAGTAGCCAGGATGAAAACGGGGAGGGATAGAAAACCTTACACACTTCAGGCCATAAGCCAACTAATTTCCTGGAGGCAGGAAGAAACTTCCTTCCCTCTCATCACTTCACACTTCCTAGCACAGACAGGAGGACTGGATGGCCTGCGGGTCTGGTCTAGGACGGCAGTTCCTTTGGCAGTGATTGGGTTAT